CTGTTGGCTCATGTTCAACTTGCCATCGACCAGAACCCCCAGATCCCTCTCCGTGGGGCTGCTCTCCAGCCTCTCGTTCCCCAGTCTGTACGTACATCCAGGGTTGCCATGTCCCAGGTGCAAAATCCGGCACTTGCCCTTGTTTAAACCAGTATCGTTAGGTGTGTGTGCGTGTATTATTTAAGGGATATAGTCTGAGGCAGAGTGGCTGTCTTTATCTGCATTCACTGCTCTGATCAGACTCTGGAAAACAAGTAATGATCAATGTTGTTTTCCCCCCTTGCCCCAAAAACAGCTGCATCAATTTCATGCATCAGATACATTGAGCTTGCTGTTACATAATAGATTCATGCTGTAATCACTCTTGGATGAAGGAGGATGTAGACGTACATAGATACATAGCTGTGCATTTTAAGCCCGTCTGCTGTCATAATGGCTGTTCTTTGAGGAGGGAAGCAATTAAATGTGTCTATTAGTTATAAGCTATGTGAATTTTTATTTTACTGACTGATATCCGTATTAAGTTATGTTTAATCACTTTAGGTACTGAAGTTATTTTACAGACTTATAAAAAATAATCTGCTGAAGAAACTCCCACAGCAGGGAGTTTAGTTTGTAAAAGAGAAGCTGAACTTGATATGAATAAAACATGAAAATCTGGATAAAACAATATAAAAACAGTCTTGCTATGATGCTGTTGAATTGCCAGTGTGAATCAGTATGTGTAAAGAGCAGATAACTTTGTTCCATATTGTTAGTAGTGTAACAGGTTTAATAATCAGAATTTTTTGATGGAATTGTAGTCTTTCGACTAGAGATCTCTCAGATGCCTTGTTAGGGCAGTATGGAAAAGACTATCGTAAGTTTCTGTGCTTTAACTAGTCTTGCTATGGTTGGTGTTGAAACAGAAGGTTATTATGGAAGGTTATATATCTTTCTTAAAACTTCCCCATTACAGGAAAAAAAACCCTGCTACTTACTATTAATAATGTATCTGTTGTGTTTTTTATTAGACTGAGGACTTGTGTTTAAATCTTCAAGTCCAGAAACTTTCACATGTGTTTCTTTGTTTCTCAGTCTTGCCATCAATATTCCCTTGTACCGAAGAACTCGAAGCATAGGTAGCCTTTTAAAAGCTCTAGTGTCAGAGGCAAATTGGAAAACACACAAATGGCAAAGTCCCTGGTTTTCTTCTGTTATTTTGAGGTAAATCCCTATTCCAACGTCATCAACCAAAAAAACCCCACCCAAACTTGTGGCAATGTATAGCTGTCTTTCTGAGTCCATTCTTCTGGAGAAATGAAATTCCAGAGAACCTCTGGAGACTTTGTACATGCCTTTGCTGGATTTTGTAATTATCTCATCAGGTGACTGGAGACAGTAAACCCACTTGATTTCTTATTGTGTGGGTCTTCGTTCACTTGAATTTAATCTAAACCCCCAAAACCACAGGGAACAACAGAGAGGAGACATAGCACTTAAATCTTTTTGAAACACTGATATGAAACATTTTGTTCAGAAACCAAAGATTTTTTCCAAAAGTGAATAAACACAGTAAATACAGCATTGATTACATGGAAAAACTGTGCATTGCTGTTCAGTGTAAATAAATAAAATGTAATGCTTTGATTTTTATTTTTTTTTCCAAGCATTAAGCTTGCTGATAATCACAGTATAAATCATAGCATATACTGAAAAGTTAGCAGAAGCAGCTGAATGAATAATGCTCAATTGCCCAGACATCGAATTATTTTTTTACAATCCACTATATATTTTCTTATTCAACACTCTTATCAGGATAAACATACTGTGATATACTGCAAGGTCATAAACGTACAGGAAACAAGTTCATTCAGTAAAGTTAAAAAAGTCTTTATTTCCTGTGGATTTGTGTCGCAAGTCCTCTCTTCAGTAACCCTCCTGCATTCCTCAGCTGCAATACTGCCAGCTTGTACTTTCATGGCCTGTAGCTCTCTTCAGAAATCCCTCTTCCCTCATCCTCCAGGTCTCTTGTTTCTTCGTGCTCGCTGGCTGTGGTCCGGACAGGATGCAGCACCTGATATCGCTCATTCTGTGCAGGCAGACAAGAGGGAATACTTAACCACTGAGCTTTCGCTGCAGTCTCTTCCCCAGGGAGAGCTGGTTGGATGTTTGTTCTACCAGTCCTCAGTTTCTATGAAAGCTGTTTAACTCCATATCCCTGAGACCTCTATCAAATTAATTTAAAAAAAGAAAAATTAAAGGGCAATCCCTAAGGGATAGGGTGGTGCAGGTGGACATAGAAGTTAATTTCAGAACATAATTTTCCTTAGAAAACCAGGGTAATGCATCTAATGAGCGAGGAGGAACTGTAGGGGCAAGTTCTTACAGCTCTGTTGTGGTTGAAGTGTGTGTGTGTCTGTGTGTTGTTTTATTTTGGTCTTTAAGACTATGTCTATACATGTTTGTTTTTTTTTTTAATTGCTTCTTTTTATATTTTTCTATAACTTGTATTGAACTAGTTTACTGGAGATCCATTCTCTCGTAGTTTTTAGTGGATAATCAGTGAGGGAATTCATTATTTAATCTAGATACATGTCATAACTGGTAAAGTACTTTGGTATCAACCCTTGATCCTTCTCCTAACTTTGGTTCATCCAAGATGCTTGACCGGGAACTCTTGTAGCAATTTTATTTTTAATTTGTAGCCTGTGTTGAGTCACTATAGCAACATGCCAAAAATATATAAGAATGACTAGAAAAACCTAGCTCTCGCCTAACTGCTGCTAGATACACAGTTGAGGAATTAACAAACAACAAAATTCTTACTGTCGTTCGGGATAGCTTAGTGCCAATATTTGACTTAAATTGGCCTTGCAGAATACATTTGGAAATCTTGAGTTGTTCTGTAATGATGTGTGTTATATTTAAGAATTACTCAGAAACACTTCCTCGTACTTACTCTTCCCACCTGGTTCATCAGTTCACTTTAAGCTATCAATAGTTGAACTATCAAATTATTTTATATGTGTATTTTCCAGTCCTTATTGCAAATGAGAGGTTACTTAATCTCACAGTAGAACTAGTCTTTCTGTGAGGCATTTAAGTCATGCAGATTTGTGACCTTACTGTAGTCTGAATATTGACATTTTCTTCCCTGAAAGTAGAATGATACCCTTGCTCATTTTGTAGTCCAATATTGTCAAATACTGTTAAATATTAATGATTCTGTCTGGCTGTTTTCCTGATGGTATGAAGTACTGTTTTGTGTGAACTGGTTAATGTTTGCTCGTCTACAGTTGTATTCTAGTAGATTAGGACCAGTGGGCAGCATTTATATCACAAGACAGTAAAAAATGGGCATTCAAGTAGCACGTTCTGATTTCAGATTTCTCCTTTCCATAAATTTCTGGAGATTTTCATGCATTTAATCAATAATTGACTCCTAGTATCTCCCAGGTGATTCTTCTCAATTGTCAATATTAGTTAATTTAAGAAATGATTCAACACTGAAAATATCTCTGCTTCTAGTGAACCTTTACCCTATTCCATTTTTGTGTTCCTTTTGTATGTATTTGTCCAGGTCAGCATCCTTGCTTTTTCCTTGGCTGAACCATTGCTGCATTACTCTACAATTTTCTCTGAAAATTGACTGCTTAACTGACTAAATAAAATACATGACAAGTCTGATGCATTTGCACACAAAATTGCTATATACAAAACAGACTTAATAGGCAGAATTGCTTAGATGATTTTTTTTTTTTTTCCCTGAAGTCAGGAAGTGTAAGGATGCAAGTAGCTGATGCCATACATTTACACTTACTTTTTCTTATGTACCTTTCCCCTCATGTTATTACAGTTATTCCTCAAGAGGAGTAGAAATTTATCTGACATTTTGTAAGGGCACTTGACATGTCTGTAGGGTTATAATTTGATTGATTTTTCAGGTCAATAAATAGGAATGTGACTATGCTGTAGAGGCATTAATATTGAGCTGGCCCTATCTCAGTGTTACCAGACTCCTAATCTTCCCAAAAAGCAGAGATTCTTGCACTAAAACAATACTGTTCAGCAACAATATTAAAATGAGAATTACTGCATGATGAAGGAGCAGTGGAGGGAAGTCACTGGCTTGTGACTTCTCCACTAGTATCTATATTATGCATTGGAATATGATGCCAGTATCTCTGAGCTAGCTTTGAACTTAAGTGGTGAAACAATGTAAACTGGTTTAAAAACAAAACAAAAAAACTAAAAACAACACACAAACTGGTAAAACCACTGTTGTGGATATCTGAGTAAAGATCCACATGTAGGATAACCCAGTTTTGGTGCCTGGTGAGAGAGCATGCCTGGTGAACATGGCTGTATTGTTCCTATGTGCGAGCTGAATTGTGTGACACTGTGCCAAGTCCCACAGCATTTCAGTCTGTGGAGAAGGGCAGAGCCAGATGAAGTGTGCTAATGCTCTCTAATAAGTGGGTAGGCCTAAGTGTCTCTTCCATCAGCAGAGCATAGGAAAGGCTTATTCACAAATTTAAGTGCAATTATTTTGCGGAGTGAGTGTGTTTCAAGTATAGCATTGATAATATGCTCATGGGTAAACTGGACTTTACTGCCCTCTGTTTAGAAGTGTGTCCAAGGATTATAGTATAACATTATCTGATCTAAGCCAGGTACGTTTATGCCAGATTCTGCCATAGCAATGCAATCTCATGTCTAACTTTTTTATTTATTTATTTTAATAGAACTTTAACATTCCACTTAACTGAGCGACTTTGCCTTTTTTCTTTCAGCTGATGCAGCCCAGCAATTTCAGTATGCAGTGAGAGTTATTGGAAGCAACTTTGCTCCCACCGTTGAACGGGATGAATTTCTTGTAGCAGAGAAAATCAAGAAAGAACGTAAGTGCATCTTTGTTCCTTTCTTAGAAATAGGAATGGAAGCTCTTCAAGAAGATATCTGACCAGTTTACTCTGAAAATGGGACAACTCTGCCTCACAGATAGTTATCTGATCTGTTATTAATGCTCACCCTCTGAAAATACGATGGAAATTCCATTAATTCCCCAGTTAGTATTCCTGAGTGGCTATTTATATTCACAGCTTAGATTTTTTTTTTTTTTTTGAATGCTCAGCTTAGATTTCCCTTGCTGCCATTTACTTCGTATCTTAGCCACTATGAAAATAAAGAACAATTAATATTGCGCTCCTTTCACTTTAATAGTACTCACTTTGTGAATTCATAGTTCTTTTTAGAAGACTGATTTTTTTTGTGATGTGCACTTTAGAAATATTACATTTGGCACAATTAACTTCATGAGCACCTGTGTGAAACTTGCTGAATGAGCATCCTGGGAATTGATGGAATTGTTTATGTGACTTATCTGATGTTTCTTGCCTTCAGTTTCTCTACAAGTTTATCTGCAACCACCTTCTCAAAACCAAAACATTAGACCGTGACAGTGTAAGTTATGTTGCAGTTATGTTCCGTTGTGCTCTATGCTGCTCTGAGTCAAGTCTTTCACTGTGGGAATCCAATGGGGATGTGATGCATTCTTCTTGAAAAGCCAAATACTGCTTTCAGCAGATTATGTGCTTACAGTAGAATGTCCAGAAACAATTACTTGAAGTATGCTAATTAAATTAAAGCTTCGTATTTGAACTTTGAATGTTCAGTCAGGGAGATTGAATTAGGGTAACTGAAGTCAGTGGTTGTAACTGTTCTAAAGTACATGTGTATTTCTTGCTGACACAGAGCTTCCATGACTTGCTGATAGGCAAATAAGCCCATCAGAATTTCTCTAGATGCATCTCCAAAACACTGTGTTCTACAGTATCCACTTTCTGCATGAGTTGCTACGTGCTTTGGCTAGTACTAGCCAGCACAGCATATATTCTTTGGGCCTATTGCCAGGAGTTTTGAAGAGGGCTATCTCCCTCATCTTTCTTCTCCCCAGCTTCAGCTTGTAGGCTGATGTTAGTGATCATGTAACAAGTAACTGGATATATCCTTCTAACTTTACATTTATTTCAAAGTTACCGTGCAGGAAGTGACTTATTTGGCAAAATGTATTTAGCAGTGGCTTTTGATGCTAATTAATGTTTCTAACATTTAACAGTGAATTTTTTATTATTAAGATTTCTTCGGATGTTTTTTGTTTATCTTTTTTTTTTTTTTTTTTTAAGAAAAACACGGCTCTTTCTGATGTAGCATGGCTTTTCTGAAGACATCTTAAAGCTTGGAGATGTTTTTCCTCTGAGCAAAGACTTCTGTTATGTAACTGGCAGTGATTGAGACTGTTATTTTTCTTAATATATAAAAGTTGTGTGACCTTGGAATTCTGCTTGACTTTGATCAAGTAGCATTACTACTTTTGTTTCTTGCTTTTACTGCTTAAAATAGGAACAATTCCACTTAGTTTTGTGAAGGGCTTTATAGCATTCTTTAACCCATGTCTGCTTTTGGTTATGTTTTGATTCCTTAAACCCACAGAATGGTAGACTAGACATTAAAAGGGCACTTATTTAGAAGGTGTGTATTTTTATTGCTCTAAGAAAAACAGGTACTTACATTACATCACTCCTGATGCAAGAATTTTCAGGGCTCTAATGCAGATAACATGAAAACAGGCAAAACGGTATGAGTAAGTAGAGTGAAACAGTTAAACATCATTATGCTTTCTTGGGTACATTTTCCAATTTACCACAAATATACAATTTCAGACATGACTATTAAACTTCTTTCAATTTTTTAATCTATCTATATTTTTTTTTAATAGTTGTGCGGCAAAGAAGGGAAGCAGATGCTGCTTTGTTTTCAGAACTCTACAGAAAACTTAATTCACAGGTAGTGTAATAAATGTATAAAGAGTAAAGAAACTGAAAGCACAAATATGCATCCTTCGGACGTTATGGAGTTGTTTTGGAGAGTGCTTGGGTCATTAACAGTATTATTACTGAGAGGATGGTTGAATACTGGAACAGGTTGCCCAGGAAAGCTGTGGAGTCTCCATCCTTGGAGGCAGTCAAAACCTTACTGAACAGAGTCATGAGCAACCTGCTGTAGATGACCCTGCTTTGAGCAGAGGGGTTGGACTAGATGATCTTCAGAGGTGCCTTCCAACCTCAACCATTTTGTAATTTTTGTGAAAAAGTTTACAAGTTACTCTTGTTTTGTTTTGTTTTTACTATGAGCTGTTTGCTATTAATTAGAAATTAATTTGGATTTAATTGTAAATCAGAAGAGAATAAAGGATACCTGTTTAGTTTGCGTCGAGTTACATGAAGGGGCATTTCATATGAAGGAAGGAACTCTGTAAAAATAAAAGCGTTCATCTTTTTTATACGTAAAACTGATGAATTTTCTGATTGTCATTTATTTTACAGCAATGCCTTGCAAGTATATTGATTTTATTAATCTAGGGTTTAAACAGTCCTCATGCTTCTGAATTTTTAAGTGTTCCAGGTCTTTAATATTGAAGGTTAAGGGTTTGCTGACTTTGATGATTCTGCTAACACCAGTGTTAATCAAAGAATACTACATGTTGATACTCTGACAAAAGATGTTAGTGTACAGAAAGTCCATGATGCAGGAAGATGGATCAGGTGAAAGGGGGAAAAGGTGTGAGGATGGAAGTTTAGCTGAGGTAGGTGAAAAATGATTGCTGGTGATCTGTTCTGGATTCTCCATAAAATCGAGTATTTAGCAAGGTAGAATATAGTGGGCAGTAATTAAATAAGATGCCCAGTTGTCATTTGCACGTACCTGATTTTTGACAACAAAAATTAGTTAATGTAAAAGACAATGTTTTCTATATAACAGAAGAATTGTCCTTATTTTACTCTTTGTATTTAAGAGAAATGTTTTTCTCTGTTCTTCTGCTTTTTATTCATGAATTTACATATAGATCATGGCTGAGTTTTACAGGATAATACTAAGATTTTAAGATTACAAAAAAGTGGTTCTGTGGAGAGTATGACTAGTCAGAACTCAGTTCTGCCCCTCCCCTCATCCATACTTAGCTTATTCACTAGTTTGTTAGTGCTTGGAGCTAAAGGTACTGTGTAACTCTTTGTTTTCCTTATCCTGTGGTTTTGTGTGTTATTTGCATTGATTTGTACAGTGAAGCAAGTGTCACTGGTTTGCAGACACCTGTTCCGATGACCTCAGACATTGGTTTCAGCCCCTTCTTGCATGTATTACACTCTATGATCTTGCTCTTTTAATACAGATTTTCTGTAATGTGTTTCTGTACCTTACATACTATGTTGCCATACCATTGCATTTGGCAAGCAACATAGCTGCAGAGCATGATGGCTGTTAACTTTGAAACAAAATCCTTGTCAGTGTTCGTACTGGTTTGGTTATTCTTCTGAATGTAATACAAGCTTACATCAGCTATCTCCTCATATTTTGCTGCCTGCTCAAATGTTTGAGGTTCTTTTAACCTTCTGGCTTTTTTTTTTTTCTGTGCTAGCATCTTGTGTATGTGAAATGATACCATCTGAATACCACCTTCTTTAAAATTCATTCTACCAATTATAATTCAATCTGCTGTTAGGTTTATTACTAATGGTGGACAATCATTTCTTTTCCCCATGAGCTTACAGAAGGGCACAGAAGGAATATACATTTTCTGAATCAATGAGGGTTTTTCTTCCTCCAGCAGTTCTCTTGAAAGCGACTAGGAGAAAGAAAAAAGCTTGTGTGAATCTGTTTTAACTTCGTTTCATCCATTACTCTAAAGAGAAAAGGAGGTCAGTGCTTATTTTAGTGGCAGCTTGCCAGTTGAGCAAACCATACTTCTTGAGGCACTTAGAGTTATTCTGTCCTGGCCAGTAGAAGAAGCAGTAATGTTGCTGCTCCTTCTTCACCAGTTGTTAATGAGTTGTTGGATTAGTTATTTGCAACAGATGCAATACATCTACTTTTCGCTTATTGTTGAGATCACAGGAGAAGATAATAGACTTCTGCTCTACATAATAATATAGTATGTCTCCTTCTACTCTTATATAACAGTATGGAGCTTTGGTAGGTTTGGTTAGTGGCCTCTGTCCTGAAGAAAGAAATGTTCTATGGCCAAACTTCTTATACCATGTAACATACATGCACAAAATGCATAATTTGCAGAGAAACAGGAAAAATAGAAAAAGGTGAGAATGAAAATGTGTTTAAAAAAAGAGAATTTCAAAGTGACCTTGAAAGTGCTTTTTGCAATCTGATAGCACTGAATTACATTGCTTCAAAAGGGATGGGATCTTTGTTGAATCTTGGTATGACTAAAGTTTCCTTTGTATTCAACATTGCTTAGTATTCCAGACCATAGCATGATCAATATTGTGAAGGAACTTGTATGAGTTTCTTTGGTTTACTCCACTACTTCATGTCCATTATGAGGTTCTATGTCCCTGATAATTCAGGTGTAAGCGTTAGTGTCACAGAACTACAGAGTAGCATATCTAGAAACATACGTGTATTTAAAATAAAACATTTAATATTTGCCATAACTGTTCTCTTCAAAGTGTTCAATTTGTAGCTTGGGCTTTAGTTGTTTTGTCTTCTGCTGGTAAGCTTTCTGCTGAGATCTAAAGCTGCTGAGAGTGTTATTCAAACAGTCTGTATGTATCTGTCTATTTGTCTGTTTGCCAGACTATATTGCATATTCCTGAAGTTTCATGTTAACAGTGTCTGTCTTAAGCTGTGAAAATTTTGGTAGCTCTCTTGAATGGCATTTAAAGTAATAGAAATTGAAATCCTGAAACTTTTGAAGCCTCCCTGTGAAGGGGAGAGTGGAGAAAAGACAGTTCTTTGCTTAAAATTGTACCAAGAGTCTTCCTTCTTCGCCTTTAGGTTAGAGTAGCATCCGCATCTGAGATGTTTTAAATGGTGAGAGTGTGTGGGAATGCTGGTAAAAGTTGAACTCTGTATAAACCTCTTTCTTAGTAGCTATGAATTTTAAATTGAGTGTACTTGCTGATCTCAGAGCAGGTGAGAGTTCATGATTTTAATACAGTGGAGAAAATTCATCAGACTAGCAATAGAGAGGCTGCACTGCACATTCCCAGTTTACTCAAGAGCGTGGCTCTGAGTTGGTCTTACTTGTGTGGAAAATTGATTTATATGGTACATGTTAGTAGGCTGCATAATTTTAAAAAATCCATTATTATTAAGAGTTAAAACACTCATTTCTGTTTGTCTTCATCTTTTTTCAAAGGGCATTTTGAAAAACAAATGGTCAATACTCTACCTCCTGCTTAGCCTTAGTGAAGATCCACGTAAGCAGTCTAACAAGGTAGGTGAGGACACCTTCGTTACTTCTGAGAAACAATAAATGTGTGTCACTTGTTCTAGATGTCAATAAGAATTGCTATCCAGACTTAACCAACACCTCAGGTTGTGTTTGTGGTGTTTCTGTGTGAGGCTGAAAGGAAGAACACGATGCAAGTATCTGCAATTTTTTTCTGTGTAAATTTTTTATACTAAGTAAATGTAAAAATGTGAGCTGTCCAACATTTGTAGCTGAAGTTGTGACTTTATTAGATGGGTGATTTTTTTGTTTTCTTTCTGCTTGGTGGTGTAATGTCTGCTCACGTGCTAATGAGTTTGAAATGGAGTAGGGAGAGCAAAATTCCTCCTTTGGTTGCAGCTCTGCTGGCACTAAAGTGCTTTTTGCAGCTATTGCTAATGACAATTTGCACACAAAAATAAGCTATATTGCTAAAAGTACTTTTGCTCACTGTAAGGGACTTGCTTTTTTGTCATTATAATTGTAACAACAAATTTTTCTTTGCATAAACATGGTCTTCAGTTATTTTTTGCATTCTTGAATATTACACTTCTGTTAACTAAAGACATGACTGAAGCAACTCAAAAACCTTTTCTTTTTATTCCTCCTTTTTCAAATTCTCTTCTTTTTCAGGTATCCAGTTATGCCACACTTTTTGCTCAGGCATTGCCACGGGATGCTCATTCAACCCCTTATTACTATGCCAGGCCTCAAAGCCTTCCATTGAATTACCAAGACCGCAGTGCTCAGTCTGCCCAGAGTTCTGGCAGCATGGGGAGCAGTGGGATCAGCAGCATCAGCCTGTATGCCCTGAATGGGCCAACGCCAACTCCGCAATCACTCCTTCCAGGGTAAATTAAACTGTTTTACCTTACAAATAGGTTTGGGGAAGGCTTGAGATGATCTGCTCTTCTCCGCCCCCCTCTTCTTTTTTTTTTTTTTTTTTTTTTTTTTTTTTTCTTTCCCCCACCCTCCTCATTTGTATGACATCGGAAATTCCACTGTAGGTGCATAGAAACTGAGTTCCTTAGCTGAACAGTTCAAATATCAAGTGCTGTCATATGACCATGTGAAGCCATAAATGGCTGGCCAAGTGTATCCATTCTTAAACTTAACCTTAGCTATCTGCTGAACAGCTATATTTCACTGGATCCACTCCTTTGGATTCTAGTGCCAAGTCCTTTTCCAAATTTCTCAGTTCTCTGAAACCCTTTAAAACAGTCTTTATCTTACTTCTGTAAACACCTTGGATTTAGAGTCCTTACTGAAGTTCCTTTTACTAAGCATTACTCAGCCAGTGTCAAATTAGACAAAAATTAAGTCAAATTAAGTCAAAAACTTAACATCATCCATTTTCAAGTGAGTGACCTTTCTTGCATGGTCTGACTTTCTTTTAAGCATGTTCACAGCAGGTTGGCTGTTGTACTAGAGCAGTCTTGCATCTTGAGTGGACAGAGGTTTTTTTGAAAAAAAATTATACAAGAGTTAATTCTTATAAAAAAATTACCTATTAGAAAAAAAATCCTAAAACACCTACTGTTCAGCAGTGGTTTAATTGTCTGTGCATACCAAGATGAATTTACATTTGGAACTGAAACATTCAAATACCAAATAGTTCAGATTTTTGATGAGTAAAAGCTGGCCCTTGTAAGCCGTAAGAAGATTGCCTGATTATTGACTTCGTTAAATAAGCCAACACAGACAGTTACTTGCTCAAAATCTGAGCCCTTCTTGTGCCATTGGATATCATGTTGTATTACCCCTCCAGCTCTACAAAGACTGACAGAGATGCACTGCGCAGAGTCTGTGTTCTATGGAGGGAAAATGAACGTGTTCATAGTCTGTGAGAGGGAGTGGTTCAACGGTCATTCTGTAATATATACCTGGAAATACATTGCTTCATGGAAGTTGAGCATGGAAAAGTGAACAGAATGTTACGAAACTTGTAAAAGTGAGGACTGTGCTTATTTGCATAGCTGTTTCAGCCTTGAACAAAAAAGCCTGGAAATAAAGCCTTTGTCCAAAAGCAATGGGGACATCACTTTTCAAGAAACTGTCGTTAATGTCAGAAAGACTCAAGAGAATATAATAAAAGGGAAGAAATGAGCAAAACCCCATTATTTTGTCCTAACAGAAGCTTCATGGGTTATGAGTTGACCAAATCCCTAATATAAGGCTAATTTATGGAAATTTTTATTAATTTATTTCCTTTCTCATAATCAGAAAAGAGAAAGACCCCATATTCTTGTCTCTTAATTCTCCTCCCCACCCCCAACAGTTGCGAAACAAACACAAAATCGGAATTGGTGCATTTTCAGAAAGTACTACAGCTTTATTTTGAGTTGAAGATTTTTTTTTTTTTTAATACAGTGTATTTGAGATGATTTATAGAATTCATATTTTGGAATTAATAACCAGTGCTGACACAACTGAATTTTATTGTTATTAATATGCTTTACAATACAAATACTTTCTTGACTTTGTCAGTACTAGGTTTGTGCGGTGTATCTTGGATGCACAAGGAGAGCATACCTTTAAGCTTGGAACATTGTGGGAGGACTATGGCCCACAACTGAGTGAGGAGGTGGTAGACCAGGTTAGTAAGCAAAAGGTGCAGGCTGATGTGGTCAAGAGAAACCTTGAAACCAACAGAGCAGGGCAGAAGGGGGTCCACCCAAGTGTGTGCACACAAATGAGGAATGTGGAGAGGGCAGCCTTATAAGGGAAGCTCTCATACCTTTTCTGGGAGATCAGCACAACTTTACTGGAGTGCCTACACGCTGACACATGCAGTGTGGGGAACAGACAGGATGACTTAAGAGGTCTGTGTGCAGTACTAGGGCTTTGATCTCATTGGGATCACAAAAACATGGTGGGATAGCGGGATACTGATGTATTGCAGAGGGTGGATACAGGCTCTTTGGAAAGGACAGGCTAGGATGGCAAGGAGAGGAAATTGCTGTTTACATGAGGAAGCAGCAAGAATGTATGGGGCTTTGCCTAGGGTCAAATGAGGTGCCAGCTGAGACTTTCTGGGTTAGGATTAAAGGGCAGACCAACACTGGTGATGCTGTAATGGACATCTGCTGTAGACTGCCTTATCAGCAAGAAGTAGATGAGGTCTTCAGACAACTGGAAGAAGCTTTACATTTGCAGGCCCTGGTGTTCATGTGGGACTTTAATCACCACAATATCTGCAGGGCACAAGCAATCCAGAAGGTTTCTGAAGCGCACTGATGGTATCTTTCTCACACAGGTGATTGAGATGATGAGGAGAGGTGCTTTGCTGGACTTTACTTTTTTACAGATAAGGAGGAACTGGTTGAGAAAGCAAAGGTTGGGGGCAGCCTTGGCTGCAGTGATCCTGGTGCAGTTCAGGGTTCTGAAAGGAGGAAGCAGGGAAAAAAAGCAGGATCCAGTCCCTGGACTTCAGGAGAGGACACTTGGGCTCTTCTGGGATCTGCCTGGAAGAATTCCATGAGAGACTCTCCTGGAGAAAAGAGGGGTTCAGGAGAGAATACAATAGAATAGTTCTGTCTGAACAATCATCTAGTCCAACTGCCAGACCTGAGAGCTGGTTAATATTGAAGGATCACCTCCTTCAAGCTCAAGAATGGTCCACCCTGACAAGCAGGAATTCAAGCAAAGGTGGCAGGAGGCCTGCATGGATGAACAAGTTGCTCCTGACAAAACTCAGACATAAAGTGTACAAAAGACAGAAGCAGGGGAAGGTGCAGAGGGGCATCCAGGGAGCAGGGAAAGCCCAAACTCACCTAGAGTTGAATCTGTCAAGGGACATGAAGGGCAACAAGAAAGAATTCTACAAGTACATGAGCAGTAAAGGAAGGCTAGGGAAAACATGGGCCTGCTGCTCAAGGGGCAGGGGCTGTAGTGACAGATGATGTGGAAAAGGACAAGGTACTTGGTGCTTTCTTTGCCTTTGCCTTGGTCTGTGCTGGTAAGACCAGCCCAGACCCTGAGACCCCTGGGAAAATCTTCATTACTCCCAGTTTACCCCTGGCAGAGGATGATCAGGGCCCATGCAACCTAATGGGACGCATCCACAAGTGCTGAGGGAGCAGGCCAGTGTCACTGTGAGGCCATTCTTGGTAATCATAGAAACATTTAGGTTGGAACAAGACCTTCAAGAATATCAAGTCCAACCATTAACATAGCACTGCCAAGACCACCACTAAACCATGTCCCCAAGCGCCACATCTACCCATCTTTTAAATCCCTCCAGCGATGGGGACTCAACCACTTCCCTGGGCAGCCTGTTCCAGTGCCTGACCACCCTTTCAGTGAAGAAGTTTTTCCTAATAGCCAATCTAAACGTCTTCTGGCACAACTTGATATCATTTCCTCTAGTCCTATCATTTGTTACTTGGGAGAAGAGACTGACCCCCACCTCACTACAATGTCCTTTCAGGTAGTTGTAGAGAGCAGTAAGGTCTCCCCTCAGCCTCCTCTTCTCCAGGCTAAACATCCCCAGTTCTCTCAGCTGGTCCTTAAAAGACCTGTTCCTTAGACCCTTCACCAACTTCATTGCCCTTCTTTGGACATGCTCCAGCATCTCAGTGTCCTTCTTGTAGTGAGGGGCCCAAAACTGAACACACAAGGTGTGGCCTCACCAGTGCTGAGTACAAGGGGACGATCACTTCCCCAGTCCTCCTGGCCACACTATTCCCGATGCAAGCCAGGATGCCGTTGGCCTTCTTGGCCACCTGGGCACACTGCTGGTTCATTCATATTCAGGCGGCTGTTGGCCAGCACCCCTAGATCCTTTTCCGCCAGGCAGCTCTGCAACTACTCTTTTCAAAATTTGCATACCCCAAACCAGGTGACGGGTATAGAATCAAAGTTTTTAAAGATGCTTCTTCCTTTTGTCCTTCTAGACAATCCTATCAAGCTCCAGGTGTTGGAGATTGCCTCCGCCAGCAATTAGGGTCACGTCTTGCGTGGACTCTAACTGCAAGCCAGCCTTCTTTACAAAGTACTACCTCAAAAGGCTTTTCAAATGCTGTCTCCCGTGGTGTGCCAAGGTCAAGGCGAGAAGGGGATACAAGTGGTGAGCAAAGATGCATTTGTTAAAGATAACTTTTTACAATTGTTATCTATATCCTCCATTATTTTTTCATGATTTTGAAATAGTTTTATAGCGTGTTGAATTTTTTGAGGAGTGTTTTGCTAGAATGTATCTCATAGAATGTAGAAGCAAATATGCAAGGCTAGTATATTTGGCCACAATCTCTTTGGCTGGTTGTTAATTTCTTTTTGCAATGATTGGTTTGATAATGTGTTCTGGTCTTAAAAGACTGACTTCATTGCAGTGTTTGTCAGAATCAAGTGATTGTGGTTTGTGAGGAACGATCACGCTTTTGATGATAAGATGCTACTGCTTTTAGAAAGGCAGGAAGAGAGCTCAATGAATAGAACTTGTTGAAATAGACTCATCCATTTGTGATTCTGTCTTTTAAAACTTGGAAATGTGCAGAGCTCTTGAACTATTTTTTCTTTAAATTAGCGCTCTGTTTACGGTGGTTGTATTTAGAGCAATTGACATAAAATATTGTCAATAAAATAAAAAATAGGTAAATATTACTAATTTATTTTCTTGATTAAGTGGCTATAAACTTGAAACTGCTGCCTAGAGGGTCTATTCTGAATTTACATGAGTGCAACTAAGGAGAAATTGTTTAACAGATGATCTCTGTGGCAATTGTGTAAGTTTCAACCCACTCTACTTTTACTGTAAAAGCGGGAGACTTTTCTGAATAAGAGAGCTAATGGCAGATGTTGTCATCCTACAGTGCTGTTACTCTCTGGCAAAGAAAGATAAGAGATGTGGTTTTTTGTTTGAGGTTTTTTTTTAATAACTCCTATATAAAGAAGTGTGGGTAGTTAGAAGCTAAAATATAGTCTATCTGCCAGCCCCTGCATCTTACTGAGTAACAGTGCACAAAGCAACAGCTTATAGACCAAACAGAGTTGTACTGGTATATCTGAGGGGAGCATTTGGCATTTAGAACATAATTAACAATACTGTTGATGTGCAAGAGGATGTGTATGTGTGTGTGTATATAAAATATTTATAAATATATATTACTTTTATATACATGATGGATTTAATATATATAAATATAGAAAAAATGTATAGAAATACATAAAATCTAGCACTGCCTCTTATTTTTGTTGTACTAATTGCCGTAAAGAGCAGTACAAACTTGTTTCAGTCAGTCAGCCAGCAGCTGTGACTTTTGATTCTTATGTGGGATGGGTATAAGGACGGACAGTTGTCTTAAATGTAGTCACTGGTTGATGTAGAAATAGAGCTGCATTCAGAATATAAAAGGCTATTGTCAAGAAGATATATTTCTATGAATATGAAATTCTTCTAACTAATTAAAAGGTGTTTTACTTCTTTTAAAGTTGCTTGCTGTTAATTGGAGTTTTCTTATTGCTGCATTTGCACAGACAGTATAACCAGGAGCATTGTATGGCTGACATTAATACCTGTTGTATTATTTACCAATTAAAGAAATGTGCACTTGAATCTTATACTATTTCGCTGAGTTCCTAAAAGGGACTAGCTACTCTTGTGCACATCTTAGTATTTTGAGGGGAGTCTGAGTTTTAAACAGCATCTTGAGGTGATGGCTACTTTTGCCAAAATAAGAATAGAATTTATTTTTTGTTGGTTTTGTTCTGGGGAAAGTGGATTGTTGGGAAAGCAAACTGATGAGAGTAAAAGTGCTGTCAAATCTGGGAGAAGCATGTTGTAGCATCTCAATTTCTGGATAGTCATTGTTGAAATTGTTTCATTCTTGATACCTTAAATGAAGTTACAAAAGCAGATGGTGCTGTTTTGTTAGTATGATGCTTGCCTCAGAACTCAGCACTGGTGATTGAATCAGAAAAGATAACAAGTTTAAGAACTGGCTAAAGTGTTGGTTAGAATATAACATGCCCTGTGTCATACAAGCTGACCTTCTGTGAGAGAATCCCAGGTATCAGTGGAGGCAGGTAAAAGGAATTCTTGGCTTTCCTGTCAGGTTGTTAATAGGACTTAAAACATTTATTTACAGGTTATAAACACAGGCTTTCTCTTTTCTTTTTTTGGCTAGGCTTCTAAATAGCTTTTTGAAGTTGTAATAAAAACTAATTGTCCCAACAAATCTAAATACTGGTTGTTTTTTCTCTTTTCTTTCTAGGTTCTGTTGAAATAACTGAAGCAAACCTTGTAAGAGATGTTTTGTATGTCTTCCAGGGAATAGATGGCAAAAACATCAAAATGTGTAATTCTGAAAATTGCTATAAAGTGGAGGGAAAGGTACTATATGGTGACTTGTATTTCATATATGAGCAGAGAAGTATGTAGGGGAAAAACAGCCATGAAAAATATGTTTAAAAAGTTAAAATATTATCACAAGTCTTGACCTCCCCCCCAGCGCCTTTTTTTTTTTTCCAGTACAACAGAGTAGTTTCAAAATTACTAATTTAAAATTGATTGAGTAGCTTAGGTCCCAGAAAGAAACTGTAGCATTTCACAAGATGTGACTAGACTCCCAACTATTAAGCCAGTACAAAGACTCCTCTAAGTTATGGCTTAATTTGAGGATTTTTGTCATCATTGTCCCTCCCCAGTGTATAAGAATGAATATAAAGCAGATGCAGACTTTTGACCATGTTATTATTGGATTAAATTTAACAGCCTGAAATGTGGAATGGATGCTAGCCACTTGATGTTATGGGCTTGATTACAACTTAAAAGTGATCAGATGGGATCATGCAGATAACCCAAGAAAGGACTGGTGGTAGAACTGAAGAGAGGGCTTTCAACTCCTGTTGTTGACAGAAAACCCAGCTGATGTGAATTTGAAGGAAGGTGTCAAATAGGGGGCAGAGGAATGGGAGAGAAGCCTGAGAGAGAGAAGATCTGGCTTTACGGTGTCACATTAAGCATAATTGCAATGTGAAAAAAAAAAAAAAAACCAAGGGTAAGATTGGGTCAGCTGAGGAAAGAACAAAACAACGGTGCTAGCATCTTCTCCTTATTCAGTATTTAGACAGTACTGCATCACAGTTCAGCTTCAGCTTGCTAATTGGCTTTCGTGTTCTTGTTCAAATGGAAAAACAGTGCTTCCGATTTTCACTTGTATTAAGAACTTTATACTATGACAACATGACATAGCCCTAAAATGGTGGGGTATTGATTGTGGCCCATTTCACGTGCCGAGGGCACAGTAGACTTATCTTAATGTTGATGATAACTGAACTAATTTCCTTTTCTCCTCCATAATAATAGCAAAAAGTGAAATGTATGATTGTTCCCCCTGTAACTTTACAACAACACTTAGCACTTTTTAATGGAGGAAAAAATTAAAAACTTAAATCTTGTTAAATCTTCTTAATAAACAGATTCTTAAGGATGTCATCTTCTGCACCTGTAGATGCTGCAAAGTTTGTAATTCCTCAACACGTGCACTGAGTTAATTATGTACCATATATAAGTTAGATTATATATGGCAAAGGAAAGGTAGCATAATAGATTTTTCTAGAGGAATGTGGAGAAAACTTCATCAGTGATTGCAAAATTGACACTATGGGTTTCATTAGTTTTCTGTGTAGTTTTCATATCATGTAGACTAGTTTGAGGTGAAAAACTGTTTTAGTTTGAACTCCTAATTCTTTTAATACAGGGAGTTTGATTATTCAGATGATTTGTGGTCAGTAATGCTTTTTCCTGAGAACTTTGTCTTCAGTTATTTTTGTGAAATCAGTTGTCTTCCATCCTTCTTTCTTATTGGCACTTTTACTGAGCTACTGGACCCAGTGAAGATGAAATTATTTGACTGACTAGAGCTGCAGCTGGAGGTTTTTCTGATGAACACGGAGGACCAAGATCATACCTCCTCTGGCTGTGTTGACTGCATGTTAGTAGTCAAAGCATGTAGTTTTCCCTCAGCTGCACAAAGAAAATGTCATTGTACAGAGTCTGGCGGTTTTTTTCAGAAAGAAACACACTTTCCAAGCTGTTATTCTTGCCTGAATGTTTTCCAATGTCAGCATTAATACTAAGTCTGTTGGAGACATTCAGCACTGTATAAGCTAGCAGCTTCTGATTTGATCTAAGAGATACAAATGTAATAACACTAAGCCAATTTTGCTTGTTCCTCATTTGATTCCAGCAGATGTGTATTGTACTTAATGCTTGCCAAGCACTCTGTAGTTGTAGAATTCTAAATAGTTCTTATGTCATCTCTTTGGTTTTAGCTTTGGGCAGAGTTTCTAACTGTGTCCAATCAAGCTTGTTTGGGCTAGAATTTATCCTGTAGAAGTTGTTCAAGAAGTTAAAGCTGTGTCTGTATATCTGAGCAAGAGGGCCAGGGACTGAACTGTGGTCTTACAACCAAGTGCTGCTGCCTGGTTCAGGCCCACAGTGCTGTGGCTAACAGGCTCTTGTAGCTGATTTTTATGTTAGAGAATGCCTGTATTGCTCACTGAAAGGCTTAATGAGTGAGCTTGATCTCTAGTTCTTTAGCAACCGGTTCAGCTTGTTAATGCACTTCCTTGCTTTGTTTTGGATTGTTCCAGCTGGCTCTTCAAGTTAAAATTGTCTGTAGGGGTGGGATAGGCCCTGTTGCTGTGGGCAAAAGTCAATCTCTGCCTCTTGGCCTAATGGGTCAGTCGTATTGTTTGTTTTTATTTATCCAGTCAAATTTTGAAAACTTGATGGTGTTCTTGGGTAATGTGGCAAAATATGGTAGAAGCAAATCTCAAGTAGGAACAAGAGGAACAATATCTTATGTGTTGGTAATTTAAAGGAGGAAATGTACTGACTCAGATGAAAGCAGTAGTAGTAGTTAAATAGGGTGGTGGGACTAAAGCAGGTTTGCAGGTGAAGTGAGATACCTGGTATGTGAGATAAGAAAAGCAGAAACAGACTAGAAGAGCTCAGAGGGGCACATGATTGAATAGCTTATAAAAGCTGTTACTGGTGGATCAGACTTAAACTTGGAATTTGGATTCTGTAAGTTTTGGTTCCTGATACCTAGTCTGGCATTGGGTGATTTGTATTCCATTAAAGGTGTGTTTCACATGTGGTGGCAACTAATTATTTTCTCTATGTTTCTTCATTAGTTTCAGTCATTGACTCCTCTTCTAGAGCTCTTAATATTTTCAGTCCTGGTGATTATCAGGATAAGATGAAATATCTACATCATAAAATTTCAGATTTCTTCCTCTTTCCTGAAGACCTTTTTGTTACTGCCATAATTGCCTAATCTAAAGAGTGTATGAATACTGTTACATTAAGATTTCCAAAAGGGAAGGTCACAAAGTTGCCAGTAGTTTTTTGCTGCTGCCTTTTAAATGCTTATGTGTATAAATTTAATGCTAATTAGATGGTTGTCTGCTTTTTTGGCACTATCTCTGCTGTAGAATGTGAAATGATTGTTTCCTGAACTGGCTTGTTTTATGAGAAAGAGGGGCTTTCGTGAAGAAAAAAGTATTGGCCTGGTAGATTTTACTTAAAATTGCAAGTTATTGTTTCTGTTAACTTTGTAGGTGAGCTTGTCCAAATCTCTCAGAGATACTACAAGTAGACTTGCAGAGTTGGGATGGCTACATAATAAAATAAGAAAATACACAGACCAGAGGAGTTTGGATCGTGCATTTGGACTTGTGGGACAGGTAGGTCAGCTAAAAAACTGATTTTGCTACAATATTTTGGTCTTGTTTCCCTTAGAAACTACTGAGTAAAATGCAGTACTAAAATGAATCGTAAACTTTGGAGCCTGGATCATTCATACTTTGATTTACTCCTTTTATGGACTGCCACTTTTGGTATGGGTCATAGTCTGAAGGCAAGGGAAAGGCATTTGCTCTTGCTGGTCGTAAGAAGGAATTGCCCGTCATTTGTAACTGGAAAGTCTCATGCATAGATTCCTTTTCTTAATCTCCTTTTTTTAATTTTTAAGTGCTCATGCATCTTTATAAACAAAAACATTGCTTAAATGGGATGGTGGCATCCCTGAGATAATTAATCACCAGTTCAGTTGTTATGGTGACCTATGCAGGAGACACTCTTGTCGGCTAATGTTGATGTTCATGTGTTAATACTGCACTAACTTACATAAAACTAATACCCCATTATCTTCTGCCCTTTCTTTTGAATACAGCATCAAAAGAATGTTAATTTTTGTTTTTATAGGTTTCATCATCATGATTTGTAGTCTACAGTAACTTCACAGCTGCTGTAATACCCAAAACCACATTTACTGCTAAGGCATTCCCGTTTCCTCTCACTTGCTCCCTCTGTAAAACTGGATATTATCCCTTCTGAGTCGACAGAAATGTTATCCTTGCCTCTAGCCATAACATCCTACCTAATCTGCCAAGAAATTGAAGTCCTTCTCCCTTCAATCTAATTTTTCTTAAGAGGTCAGTAGAGACACTGTAGTGCTTCCTACTTTTCTAATGTTTTATTCTGTTCCCTTCTGTCTCTTATTCCTAGCAACTCTTTTAGTTACATATAAAGAATTATTTTTCTAGTGGTCCAATGCTGATTTCCATGTTTTATATGGTAGTGCTACTGTGTATGCATTTTCTTCAGACTCTCCCCCTTATATCTGGATGAAGTTTCTTATTCTTTATCTAGCAGCTTCCTGCTTATGCTTATTTGTACTGTCTCTGGCTTTAATCTTCAAGTTTACAGCAAGGGGAGAACTTTAATTCTTCAGTGAATTTAAATGTATAATATCTTAGCTACAATATGCAGGTTTCAGATCCTGTGCTGAAGGCTGTGCAGTTAGTTAGCTGAATCTGCATAGCTCTAATGCTGTTAATTTTGCTTGAGGCTAGCACTTATATATATTTCTAGGACATAAGTGTACAAACAAAAACATATATTCTACTCCTGATGTCAGTATCTGGGCAAAAAGAGTATGTACCATTGCTCTTCATGGCTTTCATAGCTGACAATTTCAGGTGCTGCACACTGTGCATTAAGAATTTAACATAAGAATATATTGTGCGTTCTAAACCATCTTTTGCTTAATGTTTTAAAAGAATGCCCTGTTTAAACCACACGTAGGATAAGATGTCTGTCACCTCTTTTATATGATTTTGGTGACTGTTTTTACCACGCAAAATGTCAGGTATTGACAATTATTAGGAGTAGAGATATAACAATATACTGCACTTTAACATTGTATTCTTCTGCCTTTGCTGCTTAGTATCTACGTTCTACTTTGTCCTCAGAAAGCAAAAAGAATAATCAGCAATGAAATATAACTTGCCTTATATTTTGACATTTTGCCCATTTAGAACCAGTTGAGGTAGTGGGCTTTTTAATCTTTTTCTCTTGAACAAGCATTCTGTTTCCTTCCTGAATTCTCTTTTGCTGTAGACCAAATCAGAATTCTAGGATAATGTCCAGTTTTCCGTAACAGTTTGGGAAACAAATCTCTAGTTTGTAATGCAGGAATTGGCACTGGATGTAAATTTTAACTTCTAAAGCTTCTCTGAAAAATTGATAGCCGGTTAGATCCTAGATCCTTTTGGCTACTGAAGTCAGTGATTACTGTTCTCACTTTCTGAGTAGGTGTATAGTGCCTTTGAATGTTTTCCTGGAGGCTCTACTCTGCCCTCTGTCTTGGCAAGTGCTACTGTAATAGGTTCAAAAATGTACTGAAGAAGCAAGTGAGAAGAAATGAAAAGTGGAGTTACAAATAAGGGGATTTCTTTTTGCCCTTCAGTATCCTCTGGAATAAAATGAATTTCAAATTTCTTTCCAATTTATAATGTGGAGTTGAAGAAAGGAACCCTCTTTCCTTATAAAGGATACAATGGCAAGATTAATGATTTTTTTTTTCCCTAGTCGTCTTAGCCTCTTAGCAGAAAGATTGATTTTCTCCTTGTGCTTGTAGTAATGATTTCTCCCTTGTACATACTCTATTGAATAAATATTTCACTTTAAGCTCTTGAGTTCTTTTTGTGTGAGGTTTTCCTTATTTTTTCCAAATTACTTTGACTGTGATGATTTTAAAAGGGGTTGAGGGGAAAGTCCTGGGGAATTTCCTATTAAAAAAAAATCCAGTAAAGTAGATATCAAAATAATTAGCCAAGAATTGGTTAAGAAATCGGTTCTGAAGAATTTGTGTGTGTGCATGGAAGTACTCTTCAAAAAAAACAATGAAAAAAATTTTTAAAACCCCCAAAAGTGCTTAAAGTACAAAATTTTAAACTCAGTCCAAAATTAATGAGCCATATTTTTAATTCTGTTTTAGAAAATATGTTGCATAAATTTTTTTAGTCTGTATGTTAGGTTAAGAACATTACAAAAACAAATCAAAACCCCAGGACCCCAAACCATGGAAAACTGTCTGTTACTAAGCAAGTATTCTTTCAGGAATTGTTTCTGAAATCTGCCTTTATTTATTTACTTTTAAACAACCCAAAGTAGCTGTGCTTAGAATTGTTTTACAAAGAGGAATCTTTGCTTTAGTTTAGGCCAGTTAAATTCTGCACATTTTACAGATTTCTTAGGATACTCTTAGTGTTATTCATTTCTTCCATGTCAAGTGAAAAATCATATACAACTGTCAATTAATAAAAGGCCAAAAATTTAGAGTACTTGATCCAGCAGCACTTACTGGGAGTATTCTTTTATGAGCATTGTGTTTTCTTGTTCATGTCATATAGTCTATACTGTAAATATAATAATGGTTGTATTCCTGAAATTGAAACTCTGTTACTTTGCTACATACTGTATTTTACGTAATTATTAAAGAAAATTTCTTCTGGGTCATGTTATGATTTGCACATCCCTATGGTAACTGTTAATGTCTTTATTGAGATGATATATCTATTTGGAGAGTTACATTTATCATAGTTTAATCTGTTGACAGGCAGCAGGAAACAGAAAGTCTCTTGAGAATGTGTGTATATATTCTTGGAAAAGGTCTGTGCATCTCTTAGGGAACCACTTATATGTTGGCCAGTTTTCTAAGAGTTGGCTTCTGTGCTGAAACTTGTACCTTGATTCCTTTTAGGAAATTTCTAACTACCTTTACAGTGTGGTGGTAGAATAAAAGTTATTCTAGATTAAACCAGAAAGACTTTTCCTGATTTTTTTTTTCTTTTTTCTCTTCTTTCTCTTATAGAGTTTTTGTGCAGCCTTACATCAGGAACTTAAAGAATACTACCGACTTCTGTCTGTTTTACATTCTCAGGTAAGTTAAGTGGTTCTTATTTAACTTTCTTATTTTGCTTTACCTTATCTGAATATCTCCTAAAAGTTCTACCTAGGCATCCCTTTAGAAAGGGAAGGATGTAAAGCAGTTTCTATTGACAGTGGACACAATTCTCTATAACCTGTACATTTCTTACTCTTTGGCTGTATGTACCAATGACTATTTTTCTCTTAAAAATTCACTGTTGTTTGATGTATTACATAAGCAAAGAATATAATGTGTACTTCTAAGCCCCTGTCCCTTTTGTGCATCACTTTTGTCAGTTTCATCTTGCCTCCTATCTTTATCACTCAAATCCCAAACAGCATGACACATCTTTGAAGGGAGAAAAAAAACCCTTTCTGTGTTTCAAGCAATGCATGGTCCAGCAGCTAGTAACAACAGTTGCAATGTTTTGTTCTGTCTGGGGCAGTTTGCACATATTCCTTGTCCCTTCTGTTGTATTGAAAGAGTAAGATGTTTCAGTGTGTTATTATTTTTCTGTGATATATAGACAAACTCAGTGCTGATAATCTTGCAGTTTGTCCACAAATATTTGTAAATATGTGCATCTAGATGCTAGCTCTAAAATAAAAAACAGATTTTTTTTTTTTCTTCTGCTTACTTTTTTTACATGGGACTTCCAAGGAGTTCATTATTTATAATTGAGAAAAATTTATTCTGATAATTGACCTAAAGTTAAATTAAAATGCCATTTAGAATTCCAATTTTAAAAAATCTGTAGTTTAAGTCATAGGCTTCTGTAAATGTTTTCAAAGCATCTATTCCTTTTGTTTCACTTGCAGTTCTTTTAACATTCCTGACTTTTGGAATGCCTGTCATACATACTTTTTGCTTGTTTTTCCCAGCTACCATCCAGTTACTCTTTTTGTAATTATTTCCTGCTCTGTCCAAAATATATTTGCTCTCTTGGTTTGCTGGAACTTTGTTTTATTCTAACTTCTAAAACTTCTTGACCATGAAAATATTTATGACTTCTTTGAAATGCAGCTTCCTCTACATTTCCTGCTCTACTAAACCTTTCAAAAGAAGAGATGAGTCTGGTGAGAGGGGAAGCATGTAAGGGGAAAATGAAAGGAAAGTTCTGGCATCACTTATTTTCAAACTGCATTTGCCTTTGTGGTGGGTTGCCCCTGGCCAGCAGCCAAACACCCACCCAGCCTCTTGCTCACCACTGTCTCTTGGGGAACGGGGAGAAAATAGAAGGAAGGCAAAAAGACAAGTCAATCAAGTTAGTGACAGTTTAATAGGGAAAGCAAAAGCTGTATGTGCAAGCAAAGCAAAGTAAGGAATTAATTCACTACTTCCCATCAGCAGGCAGATGTCCAGCCACTTCCTGGCAAGCAGGGCCTCAGCCGCTTAACACTTGCTTGGGAAGACAAACTCCATCACCACAAATGTCCCCCCTTCCTCCTCCTTTCCCTGAGCTTTTGTTCCTGAGAAAAGCTTTTTGTCGTCCATATGTTTGGAAATGGTTTCCAAAATTAGTTGCTCTGTCAGCATCCCAGGGAATGAGGTGAGCCTCTCCAGTGTGTAGTTCAATGGATCCTCCTTCCTGAAGGGAGGTGTGACATTTGCTTTCTCTCGGTTGTCAGGAACCTCCTCTGATTGCTATGATGTTGCAAAGATAATAGAGAGTGGCCTTGCAGTGACATTGGCCAGCTCCCTCAGCACTCGTGGCTGCATCCCATCAGGTCTCATAGACTTAGGTATATCCAGTTTCATGTTTCCTAACCTGATCCTTCTCCACTCTGAGTAAGTCTCCCTTGTCCCAGACTTCCCCTCTGATCTCAGGTGATGTCTAGTATACTCAGTGGAAAATCTTACTAAAAGAACAAGGCATGGAAGGCACTGAGTACCTCAGCCTTTTCCATTTTTCCTGTCACCACTTTCCCAGCACCATTCAGTAGCTGGACCCATGTTTTTCCCAGTTTTCCTTTTACTGCTTTTCTTGTTGCTCTTCATGTTCCTTGCCAGATTCATCTCCAGTGTTAAGAGTTCATGAGTGTATTGATCACATCGATTAAATGCATTCTGGTAGGAAACAGTCTATACAGTGTCTGTAATGTAAAGTTTTGCTGCACTAGCAGACTGGAGTTTCTGGGGATGTCCCTCAGCACCTGACTGAAGGGGATCCCAGAGGATTTTCAAGAAGCCCCTGGCAAGATTCCTTCCCAAAGACTGTGAAAGAAAGGAAGGAGACCCAACAGGGGAGGAGAGATTCTCTTGTGACTTGGAGGCTGGGAAGCACAAGGTCACATTGCAGGATCGAGAAGGATCAGTATGTGCACCAAAGATAGGTGCTGGTGCTGATTTTAGTTGATGTTGATGAGAAAGTAAGACAGAGTGAAATCTCCCGGTCTATCAATGAAAGCTTGCTAACATTGCTCGTCTGGCAAGGAGCAGCATGAAACAGAATATGTGAGCAAATAGGTGCTGGGGAGCCCAAGTGTGGGAAGTACAAGTTTTTTTTATCTGGAGAAAAGCTGATCTAATGCATGCTTCCTCAGTGCCAAACTTGGCATTAGCAGGCCCAATTTGGGAAAAACCTTGGTGTCCTCGCAGGTGGTTCTCTGCACTGCTGGACTTGGTGTACGTTTGGGTGCCAGGGAGATGGGCACTGGGGACGAGGCTGCAGGTGTCAGTGTGACACTGGAGCACTGTGTGCAGTCCTGATGGCAGCCTCTCAGACATTGGGGAGGTAGAGACTAAGGAAGGATAAAGTCAGTTAAAAACCTCAGGAGCATGGGACAATTGCTGTGTGGGGAGAGGAGAGATGGGCTGAGTCTCTTGAGGCTGAAGCGGAAAAGGTGCAGGGGGCCTGTGGCTGAGGCTTCCAAACTAATGAAGGATAACCGAAACACAAAGTTGTGGGATTTAGTGAATGGTTACAAGAGGAAAGAAGGCGCTCTGTGAAATTAGCAGGACGTTGGTATAAAACAGAGAAGAGTAGCTAACTTGAAAAATTTGTTTCCCTAGGATGTCATGACAAAAGGTAGTACCAACGGGTTGAAAAAGGGATTATACAAATTCATGGAAGGCAGATCTGTAAACTGCTATTGGAAGGGCTGAGCAAGGATGCATCCTCTGATGTCGTGAACACTGCAACTGGGCTGCAAGGAGCCTAAGGGGGACGGACTGCAGTAGAGGGGTCAGCTTTGCGTGCTCTTCTTGTACAGCACTTCCTTTTGTCATTACTGGAGATTGAGCAGTAGTTCATCTAGCCAGGGTTCTGACAGAGGATGGCATTTCTTATGTTCATAATTGATAGAGCAGAAATCTTTAAGAAGTCGGCATTCTCAAGACTTGTGCCAGATTATCCCAGAGGTGAACTTGGTGACTTGTCAATTTTATTTTAAAAAAGGGATGGAAAAAATCTACTTTTTTGAAAGACACTTTCTTTACACAACTGTACACTCCAGTTGCTTGAAAACATGTAGAAAATTATGTCTCGGAATTGACCACGTGCTGCATTCTTGTGTTCAGGAGATCATACAGGCTGCCAGCTTAGGAGTTGTTAGCTGCAATTCTTGTTAGCGGTTTCGGCATAACAGTACTTTTTTGTTAGCTGCAATTCTTGTTGGCGGTTCAGGCATAGCAGTACATAACAAGAATCTCATCAAAGGGTTCTGTACTGTCTTTCTCACTATGACTTTATATTATGTCTTCAGAGCTTCCCCCAAACATGTTTTTTCCTCTGCAAGAGTCATCCTGAGTGTACTATTCCATAAGCTTTTCAGGTCTTTTCCTTGCAGGCTGTTTTCACGTTGTCAGCCCCTTTAAAAATGCACTTCCATGGTGAAGATGTAGGTGTATCATCTCTTACCTGAAGACAAAGGGCAGGTCTTGCTCATATATCTCTTATCATTGCCAATTTCCATCTTTTTTCCAAGATATGTTTACAAGACAAAAAAACCCCCATGGACCCAGGAGCATCCAGCAGCTAATGAATTTAACTGGCTTTAATGCTGAACTTAATGTGGATGACACCAGTCTTAAATTTAACTGATACATCGTGTTTGGCAAAAAAATGTGCTAGATGAGGAAGCATGGAGTTGTGGCATACGGGAAGAAACAGAGCATATCTTCTAAGAGTTTATCTGCTTGGACAGCTCTAGGAACTTGCTTCTGTATTCTTAGGTTGTGTTCTTGTCCTGCTTACCCCATCTGTACTTGTATGAGATGTGCATTTGCATCTCAGATGCAAATATTTGGCTTTCATTTTCCATGGTGTTGGAAGATTGATGGTAGTCACATTGTGACAGATTTTCCTTATCGTACGTAGCTTTTAATGTTTTTTTTCAATGGTAGCAATTCCTTAATCTCACTATATATCTAAGTTAAGTTCTGATGGCTTCTGGAGGAAGACATTGGACAGAATTTGTCCCACATTGAACTAAAGTAAGCTGGCTGTGCAGTAATAAAAATTTTACCTCCTATACTCTTCCCTTCCTTTAGATGTTTTTCTTCACTCTTTTCTGAGCATCTCTTTGGCCAGTGTTTGCTGTCTTTCAGGATCTCTGCTCTCCTTTCCCTTGCTCTTTTCTCCTTTTGTGACTATCTATCACCTTGCTTTCTTTAATTTTCTTGGCCTTTGTGCTCTGTCTGCCCTGTTACACTTCTACTTGTCTCTGTCCTTTCACCTGCACTTGATTCTCTATTTCCACTTCTGTGGCTCTCGGGTTTTGGCCTGATGATTTAATGAGAGAACATGTAATACTGGGTATTGCAATTGTATTAGTGTAAAGCTAACTTCACAACAAAAACTATGAAACATCAGTTCTGCTTCAGTGTTGCCAGTTTTGTTCCTTGATATGTCTTTCTGTTTCCAATTTAATTAGTTGCAATTGGAAGATGATCAGGGCGTGAATTTGGGACTTGAGAGCAGTTTAACACTTCGCCGTCTTCTAGTCTGGACATATGATCCTAAAATAAGGTTAAAGACCCTTGCAGCACTTGTTGATCACTGTCAAGGTCTGTTTAACATGAATTTAATATTTATGGGGAACTTATGTAACTTTGAGTGGTTGTGCATGCCAAAGGTGGATATCAATAATATTACTGTTATGGTTTTTTAGAAAATTTCAAGTAGCTAATCCAGAGGATTCTCTCTTTTAGTTTAAGGAAAAAATTGATGAATTATAGTGCTGTTTTGATACACTTACACTTTTTCGCCTTTTTTAAAACTAGAATGTGCTTGAGAAATCCTTCAGATTTTAAGCACACACTTTTCATGCTGTTTTCAATTATTCAATTTTAGTGATCTTTTAGAGGATGTTACACTGAAAAAACCCACTAATACACCATGAAATGGTTGGCTTAGTCTCCTCATTATGTATAAGTATTATGCTATTCCTGTATATATGATGGCATATAGGAGTCATTTGCAACTTCTCTGCAGATTAATGTGAAACAACGAAACTTTACAAATCCGCAGATAGTGCGTGTCTGTGTTGGCAATCCACAAGAAAATGCTGAGGAATGGTGTTGGAGTTGACCAAAACTTTGGCCAGTAACTGGCCCATAGGCTATGCTTCTCCCTAGGGGCACTTCAGCTTTGCTGTCTTTGAAAATAAATGGAGATTGTGGCCCTTTGGAAAGAACATCTTAACCAAAAAATCTTACAACATCTGTTTTACCTTGATTATCGGAATTGGTAACAATTTTGAAAAAGAAGTGGACTTTACTTTTAAGACATTCATGAAAATTTTGAATGCTGCAGCCTGTGCTGCAAGAAACCTTTAAGCTGTGCAGCATAACAGCAAAACCAAGTACTAGTTCTAGTTTGGGGAGGGGGGGGTTGGGTTTTTTTTGACAGTCTCTTACCTTTCAATTGCAAGAAGACGGGAGATACTGCCTAAAGGAGCTATGGGGGGAACTATAACCAAGAGGCAGGAAAGATGTGTTTGTGTGTATGCATGCACACAGAACATCTGAGAGAGTCAAGTACGGGAGAGAAGGAAAACATACTAAAGCTCCTTTAGTGCTATTCTGGTGGGGGCAGTGGTGAAGAAAAGAAGCATACGGTCAACCTTTGTGTGTGATCTGATACCTTGAAATTTGCATTCCTCCAAGTACCATAAAGTGGACAGAATATGGTGTCAGAGAGCTGTGCTTAATGCTTCAGTGAGATTAATGATTCATGCGTTAAAACCTAGGAATTCCCTGTCAACATTAAAAAATGTACTTTTGTTACATTTTAGAATTGCTGTTCGGCAAGCTCTGACTGACATATGACTAGCTAAAATCAATGGCTGCTGAATTTAAGTGTGGTATATATATTTTTCCTTCATACATTTCTGTTCCTGTCCCCTATGATCTCACAGGGAGAAAAGGTGGTGAACTAGCGTCAGCAGTTCATGCCTATACTAAAACAGGAGATCCCTACATGAGATCTCTGGTTCAACACATTCTTGGCCTAGTATCCCATCCTGTACTAAATTTCCTTTATCGCTGGATTTATGATGGAGAGCTGGAGGATACATACCATGAGGTAATGTATGTGATACAATAAATATTTTTATCTCTGTTCGTTTGGTTTGTGGGAGTATAATCTGTGGGAAGCTTAGAGGAGAACTTGAAAAGTAGACTGTGATGGAAACATACAACATATAAGTAATATATACAATAACAACATGAAAAGTGACTCTCTCCATGGATTCAGTCAGTGTGATGTCTGGAGATTGCAATGATGCAGTACATTGTTTTCAACGTGTATCCTGGGTCTATTTAGTAGAGGCAGAATGGTGGACTAACAATAGATGCTTGCTTCTGAAGAGAGACAAAGTCATCTCTCTCTCTCTTTTCTTGCTTACTGTAACAATAGTAATGTAGGCAGAGTTCTTTGTAGATTTTTAGAATGCAAGCCTTGTATTTGGAATAAAGTTCAGAATATTCTACTCTGACTACCTATGGTTATCCTCAGCTTCATAAATAACTTCATTTTGTCAACTTGGGTAGAAGAGGTCTATGGTTCCAGAGTTCCTCTAGAAACTCTGTAGAGTTATTTGTTCTGACTTCTGTAACAGCAAGTTCTGGTAACTGTCCCTGTTCTTAGAAATGTTTTTATGCCTTTTTAAGCGCTCCCAGCTCTTTTTCCTGTCTCCAATCAGTATAGTCTTGTTAAAGTGACATTTTTTTGGTTCCAAGAAGCCAAAGAATACTTTTTAAAAATGAATTGATCACTTCTGAGACACATCTGAGTAACTTTACTTGAGTGTGAAATATGCTGCCTGATTTCTGAAACTGTCCATCTGGGTTAAAATCAAAATGAGTACAAATATCACCCACAGCTGATATTTAAGGTCAGCATTAGGAGACTCATGTGAAATGTCTGTGAATCTTTATGGCTAGAAGTGTAAAATAGACTTTACTTTTTTTCCAGCTACTCCTCATACATGGGAGGTGATGTCTTTTTTTGTTTTTATATCATTCATTACCTTTCAGCTCTTTGTTTAAAAATTTACATGTGCACTGTAAGAGTGTTCTTAATACTGAAAATCGCTGTTGGATGTGGTATACTAAAAGCTACAATTTTCGTACCATAGACACAGTTTTTGAGCAAAGGCAATTGGCCGTTCTTGGTAGAAATGGTATTTGGAGGCAGTGAAAAAAGTTCTTGTCCAAGAAGTGGATATCTTGTTTGACAGGATGAGGACAGAATCCATCCACAAATCATTTTAAAAAAACTAATCATGTAGTTTTAGTTTCTTTCAACCCCACACAAGAGAATACTTTCATTTGTGAGACCTTAGCATTTGATCACCAGTTCAATTGCAGGATTTCTTGGGTTTGGGTTTTTCTTTTCCTGCAATTTTACATCTGTTAAAATAGGAGGAAATCCAAAGGGGCTTGAGTAAAAATAGAACCAGTAAAATAAAAGCATATTATACTTATATACTGAACTTTATCTCCTACCCTAATATATATGTATAACTAATAGCCAGAAAATGCTATGCGCTTCTGTATTTCATAGTGGATGTTTTACAGATAGTACACTTAACCCTGAGATAGTCAAGGTTTCATAACATACAGAGGAGATTAAATCATGTGAGCTGTTCTTTAACTTTTTTCTTTGGAGTTCATGTTGGTCAACATACAATTTACATATCAATTGCCAGGAAAACTCTGCGTGTTAGCTATGAAAAAAATTTAGTTAAAAGAAGACCTCAGAAAATTTTTAGTTTTCTGAATACAGAAATGAAACACTAGCAGAGAGAGTTTACATTCATCTTTTGTTTTTAATATTTATTTCAATCTACAGTTTTTTGTAGCTTCAGATCCTACAGTTAAAACTGATCGGTTGTGGCATGACAAATACACTTTGAGGAAATCAATGATCCCTTCTTTTATTACAATGGAGCAATCAAAAAAGGTATGAATTCAAAAGTTAATCTTGTGCTTATTTGTTTGCTCTATGCTGCTGTTTAGATTTCCATTAAGAAAATAGAGACCAAATTTAACAATAAATCATCGTCTTAAGAATTTTAGAATTGTTTGCTGAGGAAGATTATAAGACTGTTTCTCCTTTCCGTTCTCTAGCTGATAAACTTTGTTTAAGGAGATCTCAAGGGGGGAAAAAAGTTTATGTTTAAAACCTTTTTGTGTTAGCATTGAAGTTCTGGATTGCTGTAGTTGGGATTGTGAAGCTAAGAGCACAGGAAGATGACAAAATACCACGTTGTCCTGGTGATTGTGGGTGTTTTTTTTGTTTTGGTGTGTTTTTTTTCTTAAATGCAAATCACTTTAAAAAAAAGAAAATCCTTTTTTTTGTTCAGGTCCTCCTAATAGGAAAATCCATAAACTTCTTGCATCAAGTTTGTCATGATCAAACTCCATCCACAAAGATGATTGCTGTGGCAAAATCTGCAGAGTCTTCAAAAGATGGTAAAGTATGAGTGTTAGTCAGCTTTTTCCTTTGAACTGAGCTCTGTACAATATGTGGTTTTGCCTGTAAACTGACGTTTTGGATAGTGGGGTGAAAAGGAGTACAAAAATCCCATCTGCCCTAAAATATAGGTATTTTAATGGATACTTGCGTTTTACAAAAGATGTATGAAGATGCATATGTGTAACTTTCTCTTCTTAATTTGATAGGTTTGTTGGATGGTTGTTAATGTACTGGATTTCTGAATGAAACCATTCAGAAACCAGTCTGCCTTCAGCTGACTTTTGTTGAGAGGGCTGGGATGAGGGCAGGGATGTTCTTGAGTGCTGCAGTAAGAATTTGGTACTTGTGACTTCTCATCAAATATACTTCATCATACAATTCCATAATAATACTGAATTAATTCTGTGATTTAAAAATAATAAATAATCCCTTAGTTGTAAATAAGAGAATGATCAGTAAAAACAGGCAGGACAGAAGCCTTTCTGCCCTCTACGACTATAATATGTCTGAAGAAAATTGAGTATGTGGAAGGTTAGTAAAATTCTTTTTGAAGATTACTTAAAATTGGGGTTGCCAGCTGTTGAATGTTAAACCAAAACTTAACTATCAGAATTCCTTCAGGTTGTTTCTTTATGTTTAGAAGAGATTTCAGTTTTAATGAATGAGAACTTAAATACCATTTGCAGTTATTCTTTGGTGGCATATTCTTTGCAATGAAGTTAACATTGTTATGATGAAGGATAGCAAATAACAAACATCTAAAACAAGGAGACTTTATGTGTAAATACTAAGCAAAGAAGGTAAGGCAATGCATAGGATGCTGCTAAATCTGGGAGAAAGGACAAATTGCTTTCTTCTAGTGAACGTGATATTTTACTAGTGTAACTTCTTTTTATAACTCATTTAATATGCCAAAGAGAGTCTAATTGTTAAGATGTAGATCACTGGGATAATTTCTCTGATGCTATTTTATACATAGTTCTAGAAGTATAATGATGTCCTACTAGTATGTCCACCTTTTGCCAAGAGAAGAATTATCTAAATATTTGTTTTTCTGTCAAGTTCTTTACTTAGTTTTCTAACAACATCCTTCTTGGCACTTTTTGACATCTTGTACAACATCTTTTCTGTTATTCCTGTACTAAAATATGACTTTATATAAAACTTTGAAGCTTGGTTTTGTGGGATTCTCCCCCCCCCCTCCCCCCTCCAGTTTGGCCTTGGATTAGTTTTTATATTAACTCTTCACAGCATGAACTTTTAGCATGAGTACCTCCATGAAAGATGTTCTACTAATAAAAACCCATTCATGTCTGCAAGAATATTTCATCTAATAATGTGATTTTTGTACCATGCACAGTGCTTGCTTAGTCAAAGATGCGCTCAAAGGGCAGAGAAGGGTCAGGGCTAAGTGAATAAGGGCTGTAAATGCATTTGAACTGTCATCTTGCCAGCTACTCCTGAAAAAAAGCAAAACCATTCTTTGGCTACACTACTTTCACCACTTTCCACAGTGTTTAAGGCCATGCTTTTCCAATATTTTTTTTTAATTGGCCCTTGTTACTCTCTCCTTGATTGAATGGAAGACCTGCACAAATATAGTTTCCCTATTACGTATGGGACAAGAGCTTCAAAGCAAGTACATTATCTTAAGTGCTGAGAATACCTGTTTCAGACAGAAGTGTAGTTTTAGAAATGGATGTTATCCACTATATCTGCTGCGTGCTGAAGGCGTGCTGAGCTTATGGTCTGTAGCCTAAATATCTCATAGTATTGCACTGCCTTAATTCTGCACAAAACTCCATTTGTATTTAGGGCATTTTACCCATTCAGTCCAGAAAGAACATTTTGTGTCAGTGATGTTGTAAATGCGTCCTGTCCTCCTTGTTTGTGCCACCTGACAATATCCTCAGAGTCCCTTCAGATAATTACTTATAATAATACAATGGAAAGCTGAAGATGCCAGCCTGAATTCAGGATGCTGTTTCTCATTTTAAATCTGAACGTTTCATGGGTTTGGCTGTATTTTTTGTTTCTTTAATTTGCTTTGGAACCTTAACTCTCATGTTTCCCCAGTTTCCTTTTGATGCTGAAGTAATCATGATGTAAAAAAACCTGAACACGTACTAAAGCAGGAAGTCAGAGATGAAGAACAGTGTAGAAGTTGGTCATCTTGTCTGACAGGGGATTGTAGCAGGCACCTGGGGGAGAAGGGCATTAAAAAAAGGCAGATACAGTGATCCCAGCTCCAACCTCTAGCTGTCCACAGTTTGGGAACTTCTGAACCAGGAATGACATGAGACCACTATGTTCAATAGCAACTCATGGACCTGTCTGTCAGTGCTTTTTGCCAGATCCTTTCTTGACCCATTTCTGGCTTTTCACAGTGTCCTGAGATAATTTTGCACAGCTTTAAATACTTGGGCCTAGGCCTCTTGTTTGTTGATGTAAGCAACCTTTTTAGTAGTTTTGCATGTCAAACAGGGATGATGCATTGCCTATGCTGGTGTGCACGCATGCAGAGATGGTGCGTTACAGCTACACATGTAAACTTGAATTTTCCAGTCTCGGAGATGAAGGTCTGTTGCCAGGTCACTTCCCTCAAGGCAAGGGGCATTACTAAGGAGAGGAGAAAGGCTTTTTTTCTGCTTGGGATAACAAGAAGTTGAGACTGGTCCTTGTGTCCTCAGCCATAGGTACTGCCTTACACACGCTCACCCCTACTTGAGTGGATGCAGGACCAGCATGTGTGACTTGGTAGGCTTGCCATAGGCAAACTAGGCAATTGCCTGCTGCCTGTTGGCTGTTTGCCTGTGCCTTGAGCCAGTCCTAGGCCCAACCTCTGTGTCCAGTCGCCAAAGGTATTAGCTTATAACTCTCTTTGGGTTGGCTTGTTCCCTCTTTTGCTTTGCTCGTTAGGCTCACAGCATCTTGTGGAAAGGCACTTGCAGGAACTGATCATTGGGGTGTTGTAACTTATTGTGTTCTGTGAAACTCCTCTTTTAGTTTTTTTCCCCTTCTGGCAGTTTTTCCTTCTTCCTCTAAAGCCAGCAGTGAAGCCATGTGGCAGATCAGATGGCTGGTACCACTGCGCATGCAAGCAGCCACACTTGAAGCCATCTTTTGAAGACAGAAGTTAAGAGTACAGGATCTGGTGATGGGAAAAGACTAGATGAAAGTCAGAATTGATTGGACATTCTCACTGCCCTGTTGCCCTGTACTAGTGAGACAAATGCGTTTGCACGAACTGGTGTTTTTCCCTTTTTCCCAGCAGTGGGAACACTGCTGCATGCGTCCTTACCTGGGCAATGCAAGAATTGCTTTGTCAGATCACACCAGATCGATGCCTTGACCAGAGCAAGCAGAGACCTTGGTGAGCTGTCTCTCCTGGTTTGCTCTCAGTGACTGGAAAGGGTTCTTTGAGGATTCCTTGATGCAGGCTGTATTAACTCTCACATCTCCTAAGCTTGATGCGTGTTACTTGACTTAAGTAGTATTCTCCTAGGGTAGGGATTTTGAGCACAGCAACGTATTATACAAGTGTCACCTCTTTGGCATTTCTGCATATGCTTCCACTGTCGGTGTCTTATGGAGAGCTTCACAGGTTACTGAATGAGAGTTTGGAAACCTCAGGGAATGTCATTGAACCAGACATTGTGAGGTTTCCCTCATTAAAGAGTGACTTCTTTATTAGAACCGCTGTTTATTTCTTCAGTTTAAAAGCATTTTATTAATTGAGGCTGAATCTCACGAGAACAAAATCAAACTTGGTTTTAATTTTTCCTATCTGCAGTACAGGTTGAAACTAATCCTGGAGCAGGCAGTACACTGTCTTACACTAATTTGGTACCAGGTTCTTCATTTTTTTACTTTTAGAGCAATTGTTGTGTAATTAAAAATTGTTGAAAGTGGGAGTATATCCTTTAATGCTGAGGAAGGTCTGAATCTTACAATAGTTGGCAGTCCAGTATTTGGAGTTTTGCTCCATGTTGCCTGAAGAGGCCACACTTCTTGCTATCTTGTAACAGTTTTATTGCAGATCCTTTCTTAATAAGCTTGTAGTTGTAGAAAAGAGTGAAATATGCTTCCTACTGAAGGGTGGCATCCCACTTTTTGCCCCCAAGTTGCCATGCATTAACAGTGGAGAAGAAAACATCAGGTTGCTGGTTGTCCCACAGATCATGCAAGCATATTGCCTCCTCTCTCGTTCTGACTTATATGTGGGAACTCTTTTCTGTTGAATGTTCTGACTGATTCTTTGATTTCTTTTTTTTCCCTTCACCCTTAGAAGTGACTTCTGATTTAGATCGCCCCCAACCAAGCTTTTCCCTAACTCTGAGATTTTAGGTCTCCTTCAAATTATTTGATTCTGTAAATTGCAGTATTTCAGCAAGCTAAAAAAAATCACTTTCTGTGTAAAAGTGAGGAAATAATATGAGCTCTTATTGGAAAGTATGACCTGGGCACAGATTAAAAGTAATAATGTTCAAGTATGGGCTGCTTAAGACTTGCTTTCACTTTGGCTGTGGCAAATGTATAATATAGTGGATCAGAATAAATAGCAATTTCTCTGCTTGTATGTTTCAATTCTAAAGCTTGTTTGCCTCAGTTTTGGAAAAATACTAATTTAATTGTAATTTTTTTTCTTTTCCTTTTTTTTTTTTAGCTGCTGATTTATTCACAGATTTGGAAAATGCATTTCAAGAGAAAATTGATGCAGCTTATTTTGAGACCAGCAAATACCTGCTGGATGTTCTCAATAAGAAGTACAACTTACTGGAACACATGCAGGCCATGAGGCGCTACTTACTACTTGGTCAAGGAGACTTTATCAGGCATTTAATGGACTTGCTCAAGTAAGAGATTAGGAAGGGTAATTATGTTGAATTTCTGATGCTTGCAAATGTGTATGATCAGCACAGAAACTGTTTTGCTTTTGGAAGAGGACCGTTTAAGTATCTTATGACTCAAAGGTTTAATTGAACAACTTTTAAATTATATTTTGGGTTTAATTTCTTTGACCCTGAGGCTTAAACTTTGTTCTTCTTTTTTGGTAGGAAGTATATATACAGTACCATTTCACAATGTCTTGAAAAGTTGCACTAATATAGATACCTTTGCACTTGACCCTGTGACAGACTTGGGCATGTTAGCACTTATCTCATTGCTTTTGATGCCACTAGTTAGCATTGTTGTGAATGTTAGGCTTCTATATTTTGGAGGTGTTTGGTCCAAAACATTGTGTCAAAACCCCTCAATGCATTTTTAAAAATTTATTTGATGCCTCACCAGCCTCTGTTTTAAGCACTCAGGTGAACCCACAAGTATCAGTTTCAGTTCTTAACATGTATTTGCAAGCTCACTGCTTTTACATGCTGGTGTTACTGATGAAACTTAGTCTACCAAAAATGTCCTTTGCAAAGCTTTCCTTTGGTCTAGAACGCAGGCTTTGTAATAGAGCTTCCATTAACTTGTTTGTAAATCAAAATCAACATTGTCTGGTGACGATTTGTACATGACTGTGCTTTTTAAAGTGAAAATTAGTATGAAGCACAATAAGGTTGGTTTGTGGAGTCAGTATTACATTTGAGGCATAAGTAGTGAGGGGCTTTCCAGTACTGATCATGGGGCAGAGGAGTAGTGCAAGGTGCTTGTTACTTGCATGTTGCAACTCTTTGGAAAGTTTAAGTCACATAGAGGGGGTGGGTTTGTGTGCTCTTGCCAGCACTTCTAAGCCCGTGAGATGGCTACCAGTAAGTTTCTCAAAACTGAAATGAAATTATTGGTTTGATTTGTTAATGATGTAATCTGCCTCATTTTAGATATGAATGCAACTCAAATTACAGAATAGTTATGCTAGGAATCCTGGTAATTTCAAATTACTGGCATTAAATGAGGATAAAGTTGCTCCTCATGCTGATGTTCAGGTGTATAGCTGCATATGAATAGACATATTCTGCTCATATTCTGCTCAAATATTTTGCTCATTGATTTTCTTTGTGGTTAAGACTGAAAGAGTAATACAAGAGGTTTTGAAAGTCTGTCAGAAGAGTGTTTCACTGTGTGCTGCAGTTACTACCAAATTGCTGCTGCAGAATATCTCAGTAATATGCCGTGACTGTTTGTTTCATAACCACCAGGCCAGAGCTTGCACGACCAGCTACAACTTTGTATCAGCATAATCTAACTGGAATCCTTGAAACAGCGGTGAGGGCAACTAATGCCCAGTTTGATAATCCTGAGATTCTCAAACGATTGGATGTTCGACTTCTCGAGGTCTGTTGCATCATGGGGACTCTGACCTGAGACATATCTTTTTTGTGTGTGTGTGTACATGCAAACGTCTATATGAAACAAAATTTTCATATGTATATATAGTAAATACATTTCCCCCCCCCTTTCCATTGAAGTCTGCTTTTTGAATTATGTAAACCTCATTTAGTAAGTCCTCTTCTTCTCCCATTTCCTGCCTATTCTCTATTTGTATTTCAAGCTGTGGGTTTACAGCCGTTTCATTGACAATATGAAGTTGAGTATTTGGGGTCTAACAGTAACTGATGCTGGTGGCCCTGATCTGAGGTTGTGCAAACAGCTCCTACTGCTGCTGTTCTTAGAAGAATCTGGGGGGTGGTCTCTTTGTTGCCAGTAGTTACAAAGAGTGAAGCAATGAAAGTGCATTTCATGAAGGAGACGTCTGGTAAGAAATTTGAATTAAGGAGAAAACTCCAGTCCTAGAGGTGGGAGTTAACTGATGTACTGTAGCATCTGAAATAAGTCTATACCTTAAGCTGAGTCCTGCCTAGGAAGTTTTTCCTTCCCTTTATTTCCTTTACTAGCTCCAATGGAAAAACATTGGCATTACAAACATGAAGATTTGGGTGAGATGAATCCCACCCTTGTGTCAAACTTCCGTTCATTTTTGCTTAATCTGTTACTTTTGACAAGGAACTCCTGTATCTCCCGTATAGATGCTTGTTTTTTCATAGGCTGTGGAGAATGGAAGAGTAAGCAAGAGTTGCTCTTCAGCACTAGTATGCTCTGGCTATACACTGAAAGTAGCGTATCTTTTTAATACAGGTATCTCCTGGGGACACTGGATGGGATGTCTTCAGCTTGGACTATCATGTTGATGGGCCAATAGCAACGGTAATGTCATATACTGCTGGCTGTGAACATGTCTCGAATACTGAATTGAATTGCTAAATTTTTTTTTAATTGAAATAACCTTTTATTCTGGAGTGTAAGATCAGAGAGACGACTTTTGTTTTTGTGGGGGTTTTTTGGGTTTTTTTTTTTTTTTGGCATCTAGGATGTACCCATTGTATAAACAGTTGGGCCAAAATCTCAATTCTTATAAATTGACTGTGAGTGCTAAAAAGCTACATTTATAACAATCATTACTGAAAATGAGTAATTCATTTGTTCCAGCAGAGATTTTAGCATGTTCTTAATAAATGGAGTGCTCCTCTTCTTCCATTATTACTAGGCTGTAGCTGCTAATTTGGGATAATTTGCAAGGAACTGAAGAATGTATTTGAGGAGAACCTATTTGTACTATCTAAATGAAATTTGATAGGTGGTGTTCATTAGAACTGCTGAGAAAATAGCTGCACTATTGATCAGACTGCATTTAGCCTCTATAAAGAGCTTGTAAAGAACTTTTTTTTTTTTTTTTTAAACAGGACATCAAAATGTGAGTCTGACCAGCAGAAGGAATTGTCATGTATATATATATAGTTTGAAAAGAGAAAAATGTTTAGCCTTTATCTTGTTCATGCCTTCTTACACTTACTTCCTCCCATATGGGATTGGAAGGGCTTAAAACCTCCCAAGAAATGATTGCCTCCTGGCATGTAGGTCCAAGCTTTTTCAATTGTCTTGTTGGTAGGACAACAAATACAGTTGTACTTTCTCAGCCTGCAATGAATTGGAACTGGCAAAAGCATCAGAGCAGCACTTAGGATTTAAAAAAAAAAAACCAACAACAACAAAAAAAAAAGCCCCCAAAACCCCCCAACCTTTTCATTTAATTTTTTTTTTAAACATGGAAAAGATGCCTATGTGGAGGACTCATGCAGAGAAGCATATAAGCTGCAATGCATTTCTACTCCATTGTCTTCAGTCTTCTGAAGGACATGATGTGGAAAAATTGATGATGTAGGAATCTTTTTTTTTTTGTGTGTGTGTGTTAAAATGCAAAAAATAAAATGACAGTGCTGTTGAAGTGTGCTCTGGACCAGAGCAGGTGCTATAGCTCTGCCTTCAGCAGTGCCTTGTGCCTACTTGAATGTTAGGTAACTTAGCTCAGCCCTTGAGGGAGGATCTTCCCAAAAGCTCTGGGTTTCCAGGGATTTTGTTTAGACTATATTTACCAATAAACTGCATGGGTCAGAATAGATGGACTGTGAAGAGGTTCTTGGTCCTTCAGAACACATGGTATGTCTATTAAATTTGTACTGATATTTTGTTTGTTTTGTAGGTATTTACACGTGAGTGCATGAGCCACTATCTAAGAGTATTTAATTTCCTTTGGAGAGCGAAACGAATGGAGTATATTCTTACTGATATATGGAAAGGGCACATGTGCAATGCAAAGCTTCTGAAAAGTATACCAGGTGAGAGAAGCCCAAATGGATGGTAAACTGCATTTAGATGACTGCATCTTATTTGAAACTGTATGTTAAGGGGGCGGGGGGAAGCCTGTTGGGACAGACGAGTTTTATATTTTGTTGCTTCTCTTGACTGCCTGTTTAATGGTAGATGATGATGAAGATAAAATAACATTATTGTAAATGGAAGCTTCCTGTTTGTTGTTTTACTTAATCCTTGGTTGTGAGTTTTTGTAGCAGTGAGCAAATGAAACATCCCAGGTCTCTGGAAAGAGACCGTTACTCTTCCATCCCCTTTTACTCATCTCTGTTGATGCCTTCCTATCTGTGTCTCCCTCTTTCTTTTGCTGGAAGTAGTAAGTCTCACACATGCACGCTTCTGAATTTACTAGTTTTACCTTCACTCATTCCCTGTGTTTTTGTTTAGCTAAGAACAGAAGAGGCAAAGATAAAAGAAACAGATGTTTGAGAAGAAATAGAAAAGCTCTTAAGTGTAGTGGCTCTGGTGCGTGTTAAATGGACTGGGATTTTTCGATCCTGCTTCTCAGCTGAGAATATAGTCATATTTATGAGCCTCTATACTGGCTCAAGCTTGACTTTTTTTACCTAGCTACACTTCTCTCAGTAAAAAATAGCTGTTGAGGGTTACGCTTTTTTGTGGCATAGTAATATTTACAAAGATATATTTATGTTTTTTTTAATTAGGAACTGTTCGGTGGGTGGGAGTGGACACCTTGGCCTCAGAAGGTCACTAGGAAACAAGGTCTTGTAAAGTCTGCTCCGGTGCACAAGACTGATCTCTGGAACTGTACTGGATGACTAGGTTTCCTTTCAGTTTCTGTGAGATAGGATTTAGTTTATTGTCATTTCCGTGTCCCAAATAAGTGCTTGTTTGACTCAAAACCAGTGGTCTGTTGCGTTCTTGCTTTCTGTTCCCTTTGAGACTAGGGTGCAGTTAACAGATTTTATTCTCATCACCTGAGGGTCTTCAGGCTGGAGCTGTCTCCCATTGCTAGGGTTTTGTTTGTTCTTTTGTTCTCAGAAGGAAGTTTTTTCTCCACTCCCCCCACCCACCCCACTCCCCTGCCCCAGGAGGCCTTTCTTATGCTTCGCTATGGAGCAGTCTTCTGTAAGTAACAGCTCAGTTGCTTGTTGCCTTTACGTTTCGCTATGTTTTAAGTAATGCAGACATTTAAGGTAGCTGGCCCAGCTCTTGTAGCTCTTCTGTTGGCAGAAGGAGCCAAGTACTGTATTTCTCAGTTTGTGCCTCTGACAAAGGAGAGTATGTTTACAAAGACCTGTACTGCCTTCTGCCTGGAGGGACAGGAGTCTTTCTTGCTCACTGGCATGTCTAAGTTGGAAGCTGTGAGTAAACTTTTTTTCTGAAATACATGGAGAGTCCACGCCAGCACAGAAGTAGTAGAACTTGCTTTTATTTTCTCTCTCTCCCTCCAAAACAGTACCTTGCCCTTCCGGTCACAGAGCACCAAATGGAAGACAGTAACTGATAGGAGGAAGCAGCTGCAGGGTCTTTTGTTTTTCAACTACAAAGAGGTAGCACTGACTTTCAAAGATAGCTTTATTCACAATTCCCAAAAAGTCTTAACAGCCAGGGATTTTAATGCTTTAAAGGAGTACTTCTAGACAGTAGTGTCAGGCTCACTCTTTTCCTGTTAGTAATTTGAAGAAGAAACACAGATGTATCCAACTCACCAATGTTGCGGAATTTCTGCTGTTTAGCCAACCCTGGAGGTTTTTTTCATTGATCCTATTTAAAGTAGATGCAACATAATATGTTAGGGATAGTCCTACTGCAAAGGCATAAGAAACGAAGAACAGAGTAGCTTGTAATATCTTTCAGATGACTGGATGGTTCTGTAACATCCCAAGATATGAAAATGTAGAATTCCTTTTGTAGTAGTCTCATAGCTTGTCTGCAGTGGCAAATTACTTCGGCAGCTTTTTAGAAATTACTACTTCTGTCTGGATATCTGCCTGATTCCACAAGGCTGAGTATCTTCGTTCCAGAGAATTTTTGCAATTGATGGTAATCTTGATAATAGCCTTCTGCAACAGAGACCTTCTCTTACAGGTGAGCAGCTGAGGCCATTAGTGACTTACCTGTGGGTCTCTGGTGGATTGGGGAATTGAGCCTGGACCACATGAGTGACAAATTCCCTGCCCCTGTCACAACCACCCTCTCTTTTGCTCTCAGTGTAGCTAAGTAATGCAAAATATGCTGTCTGTGGTTTGAAGGCTAATGGTAAGAGATGAGAGGCTCCAGGTGCAACTGTAAATCTGTGGCCTCAGATTTTCAACCAAAAGAACACATGGGATGTTTACTATATTTTGGTCTCTTGGGACCGAGAGGGTCTTTTTCACTTGTGATACTCAGCAAGTTTCCAGCACTGTCTGAGCACACAGTTGGTGTAATTTTTGGCTCGCATTTTCTAAAAGTTAATTGTGCAATGTTCTTTGCTCACCTGTTGCCAGCCAGTATTGCTGCTACCATCCAAGACTAGTGGCTGTTTAATGAAGTATTCAGTTTAGTAGAAAAAGTTTACCAAGCTCGTTTGATGGCTGTGCCTGTCCTTGTGGTCTTTAACATGCCATCTCTTTGGATTTTTTACAGAGCTTTCTGGGGTGCTGCATCAGTGTCACGTTCTGGCATCAGAAATGGTCCATTTCATTCATCAAATGCAGTATTACATTACATTTGAGGTATACTCTCTCCACCCAATTAGTTGCTTAAAAATGAAGTACTTTTAATATTCTGTATGTGTTGTGTGTCTTAAATTTCAAAGAGCTTGTCATCTAGCAAATCAAAACAGCCCAATCCTGAATCATTGCTCCAGGTGCTTGAATGTTCGTGGGATGAACTCTGGAACAAGGTCCAACAAGCACAGGACTTGGATCACATCATTGCAGCTCATGAAGTTTTTCTAGACACAATCATAGCTCGGTGCTTGCTGGATAGTGATTCCAGGGTAAGTCTTCTCCTTTGCATTAAATTGTAGCTTTGTGATCTTGGCTTATGGGTTAGGAACCATCTTCTCTTATGTTGTCGGAGCAAGGGGAAAAGTCATTTTTCTTCCTCTGATATAAGACCTTATTATGGTAGGCTCTGTGCATACTCCCTACACACAGTCACAGATGCTGATTATAAAACTTGTTACAATGTGGGCCGGTTGCTTTTGGTCCTAAGAAGCTGTGTGATCATGCAACAACTGATTTAGGACTTTGCAAAACAGTCTCTCCAGCTGTGCGTAAAAAGATTTAATTTACTCATATTCTAAAGAGTGGTAGTAACTTAAAACTCTTTTGCCATACTACTCTTTCATTGTTTTGTCGCTTAACTGTCTCACAGGTACTTCTCAACCAGCTTCGAGCTGTTTTTGATCAGATTATTGAGCTTCAGAATGCCCAAGATGCAATGTACAGAGCTGCTTTGGAGGAGCTGCAGCTGAGATTGCAATTTGAAGAGAGGAAAAAACAGCGTGAGCTTGAGGTACAGTAAGGATGTTGCCGGAACATGAAAATTAATTGAGGCAGATATACTTGTCTTTTGATATACGGAGGATTTTAGATATCACGTAGAGGTACAGCAAAAATGGAAAATGTAGTTAGGACAAATGCAAAAGGCATCAGCAGTAGCTAGTGAATTCAAACAAAACTGCTGAGTAGTGTTTTTCATTTCTGTCTTGCCCAAAACCTCTAAGTGAGTAGATTCTGCAGTGGGTTTTGGAGGATGAGAAATTTAGGTTTCTTTTAGGTAAAGGAAATGGAAGAGTCTTTAATATCCTGAACGCTTTTACAAAAAATGCCATAGTTCCATGCCTACCTCCCTACTGTCAGTCTGTGGGACATGCAGTGCTCGTGTGAGACTCGCCTGCTTTGCTAACCTCCAGTTTCTTTCGCGTGCTGTACAACCACCAAGGGGACTGATAGTTTCAATACTAGAGGCTCCATGTTTGGCTTTCAATGGCAATGGTTGGTTTGTATAAACATGGTGGTTTAGCTGGGCAGAAGGTGGCCCGATTAGCAGCTTTCATCATGTGATGCTTGACCTCTTAACTCATTTGGTCTCTCTAGGGCAAGTGGGGTGTAACTGCATCAGAAGATGAAGAAGAGAGCAAGAGGATGAAAGAATTTCAAGATTCAATACCCAAAATGTGCTCACAGCTGCGAATCCTCACTCACTTTTACCAGGTGCCCCTTAGATTGTATTTTTTTTAATATGGGTGCTGGGCTTTGATACGTAGAAATCAATTTCAGATATGGAGTATGTGTAACTTCTGTATTCATGTGTGCAGTTTGTGGATCTAGGTCTTCATTTTTTGCTTCTCTGCTTAGAAGCCTGTATTCACTGTTCTTCGGTAGACAGCAGGTTTTGTAATCGTGTATGTTCCCCTGACAAAGAGGAATAGTCTCTTCATGTGAGTCTCCTCCGTCCTCCAGTAGTGGAAGTAATAGCTATCTTCTGGTGTAATCTGAAAAAAAAAAAAAAAAAAAAATTAGAATTCCCTCTGCATTCCATTTCTTCTCACCATCTTTGCAAATCATTGCTATTAAAGACTGCAGAAAGGGTCCTTATTAAGGGCCTAACACTTGATTTTAAGTGCACTGAGATGGGCAATGAGTAAGCTGTTTGGCGGAACGTGCATAGGCTGTCTTCTTTGGGAATTATTCTGGCTTTGTCTGAAATTGTTATATCTGATTCTAAAGCTCTCATTCCCCAGGAAAATCAGCTGTTAGATTTCAGGGAAAGCATTCCAGAAAGTCATGAAAGGGAGGGACACAGCACTGTGTGCCACAGCAGCCGTTCAGGATTAGACCCCAGGTCAACTGAAAACCAAAAGCCTACTTCAACTCATCTCTTGACTTTGACACATGAGATACTCTTGATGTCATGTAGTGTACCTTTTAACTTCTCGTATTTATCACCTTTGGCATGCCTGAAGTTAGGATTTTTTTAATGATGATACTGAGTTTGACTTAAAGCTGTAGGGCCTGCTTTATTCCATCTTGCTGTTGATATTTCTTGTATCTTTCTTTCATATTTTAATATCCATAAATACACATTTAGACAAATAGTAAACATGTAAGCATGCATTGTTGCCCTAGGTAAATGAATGAGGTTGAAGTGGTTTTGCTGCGTTGTTACTCATACATTCATTTTACCTTGTAAGAGTACAATTGGTTCTTTATAGCAGTTACAGTTGTGACTTAGCACCCGTACAGCATGTGCAGAGCACTTCTCAGTCCTTCTCTCTGGTGGTTTGCACCAGATCCATTTCTGTATTGCCTATAACTTTGCCATAGCTACCCTGGATGAAGTGCTGCATTGTCAAAAGACTTCGGTTCCCATGGAAATTTGATTGAAAACAGAATAGGGCACCCAGGTTATAAAATACTGGTGGCTCTTGTTGAAGGCTGTAGAGATCCTGAGCTCTGATGTGAGGACTTCAGACCTGGGAGGAATTTGCTCCTGGGTCCACATATTTCAGTTCTCCCTCCCAGAGAAAAATGGAGACAAATCCTTTTAGGAGTGGGCTGTGAATAGATTGTAGTTTGTGTGCTCTGCAGGATTGCTCCAAGTTGGCAATGTAGCTTTTGCCTGCTCGGACTGTATTCCTGCTGAGCCCCACTATGGATTTTCCGTGCAGGACTTCGCTGGCCAGCCTTGGTCATCTCTGGAAGCAGTGGGGTGCTCTAGTTATGGGCATGTCCACATTAGCATTTATAATGTGGAGATCAGGAATGAGCTCTTGAAGTGAGTCTTCCCATCCTCCCAAAGTCCTCTGCTTTTCTGCATGCTGTGGAGCTCCCGCAGGCCCTGGGCTAGAGCTGAATGGGAAGACGGACTCCAGAAGTGTACCTCCTGCATGCCAAGTGCAAGTCCCACATAAAAACTGCTCCAAATGCATAGAGTCTAGCCACTGGGTCTGTAGCAGTGACTGCCCTACTGGGCAGATGCTCTGCAGCTCTGCAGTGCTACTTGCTGCTGTCAGTATAGCCTACATCAAATACGTATTTATGAAGCAAGCAGTGGTCTCAGGCTGGCCTGGCCTGCGTTGCACATGTGACACGGAAACAAGGTGAGGTCTCCTGTCGGCATGTAGTGGATCCTGAATTGGTCTCCTGCGTACCTGGGGAGGGCCGGGGCAGTGGCGCAGGGGCAGCTCCCCTGCAGCCTGGGAGCCTTTGGACAGATGGGGAGTGCCAGCAGGGCAAGCGGGGGTCTGTTGAGAAGGCCGAGCTGTTTGCGCTGGAGACTCTGAAGTGCGTGGCAGACTTTTGAAGGTAAAATGAAGCTCTGTGGTTTTGCAGAAAGAATGAATCCAGCATAACTCATTTGCTAACAATTGGGTATAAATGCTTGTGCTTGCCCTTTCCCTGCTTCCCTCTGCCTCCTTGCCAGGCCTGTGCACCGCCTGGCATCCCTGTGCAAAACACACTACTGCTGTCGTCTTAGCTGTCTCTTGGGTTTTTCTTTCTCCTTCAGGGAATCGTCCAGCAGTTCTTGGTCCTGCTGACAACCAGTTCTGATGAAAGCCTTCGGTTTCTTAGCTTTAGATTGGACTTCAATGAACATTACAAAGCAAGGGAGCCAAGGCTTCGTGTATCACTGGGCACTAGAGGCAGACGAAGCTCACATGTGTGAAACAACTGCTAAGGACTGCACCTCGGTATCCGAAGGATGTTGAACCTCTTGTTGGACAAAGCAATCAGTGTTGACATAATACAACCAAATTGTGCGTGATTGGTGTCTACCATTTCTGCAGGCCACACGTTTTCAGTCATGTGATTGTGTGACACTGTATAGCAGAAAGCAAAAAAAGTAGGTTTTTTTTACACTGACGTTTCTAGAATTACCAGACTAAATGGGCTGATTGAACCTCTTCCAATCAACTTCTTAAATCATCCTTTTAAACAAACCAATTTTATTTGAAGCTTTCTGAGCTCTCCCCACTGTAACTTATATCTGTGTCAAGGAAATCGCATCTTTTGTTTATAGAAAGCACCATTTCCTTTTTTAACAAGAAAATAAGAAGGTTATTTTTTCTATATATACTTGTTCTATTTGAAGAGAGCTTTTGTTAAAGCCAACAGTTTAGGACCCAGACCTAATGTCCTTGTTAAGAAGCTATACAGCATTTCATTATGCTGATTTTCAGTGTTGTGACGTGTTCGACTGTGTGAGAATCTTTGTATCAGGAGACATAAACTTATAATTAATTTTTTTGTTGTTTTCAAAGTTAACAAACTGAAATAAAAAAATTAGTAGGGAAATTCTATGGTTACTGTACAGGAGAAAACTATAGAAGCAGAGCAGGAGTGTACCTATTGCACATAAGATCTAAAAAATGAAGTTGAAGCCTCGGTACTGTGAAAGGAAAGTTTTGGTTAAGATTGAATTGAATGAAATAATTGATGTTCAAAATCAGATGTGTAGAAACAAACTGACTTGGCTAATGTTGACTTCATTCTCTTCCGTATTTTTTCATTGTAAATATTTATATATTGCTGTTCAGACGTTGGTGAGAGGGGGATTCTTCTTTTGCAAAGTTGTCATTATATCAGGTCATTTATTATGTTCCACAAATGCAAGCTTAGAAAAATAAAAACACGATTATCTTTCAAACAAGTGATTTGCTTTTTGTAATCAAAATATTATGATTTTTCCACAAGGTAAGAAAGGAGAAGCTTCCAGTTAGGAGTGTATTGATTTACAGATCCCTACCCATTTCAGGATCTTGGTACTATTCTTATCTATACTTAGAGTTGTGTGCAATTTGTTAATTAACAATTAGCTTCAGGTCAAGCAGGTCTGTGGCCTTTTTTGCCTTTTGCCCTTACTCCACTTGAACCCCTGGGCAGCAGAGGCACCTGCCAGGTCATGCAGACGAGGCTGCTGTGAGTCAGGAAGGAGGGGAACTCTCGTGGGGACGATGCCCCGACTTGCATCCCTGGACTAGTGGGTCTGCCCTTCAGACACCAGGATTCCTGTTATCATGCAGGCCTTGGAGTCTTTGCTTTTGTTAAATAAAACGTGTAAGGCTTTTAACCCTGTGCCCTTAAAGGACCTGCTGGTGTAGCTGCCCTCATGGAGGTACTTGCAGGCAGCATTTCAGCTGTAAGAAAATAGGGACCCTGAAGCCAGTGATATTCTGTGTGCCAAAGGAAAGCTGAAGGATGCCGAGCTTGGCATCGCAAGGTCGCAAATCATTTGCAGGCAGGAGTACTTTCTTTTTGTGGGTGTGGTGGGAGAGTATTGTTCTCGTAAAGACTGAAAGAACTACAAAGCTTATGTGGTTATGTTTTGGCCAAAACTGTTGGGAAAAAAAAATGAGCTGCACGGGCACTCCTTTAGCCATTGCCTTGAGAGACATGTTGCACGATCCCGTGTGTCATTAGACAATCCATAGGCCAGAGAGGCAGCATCAATGTCAGAAGTAGAGGACAAGTTCCAGAGAAAGGTTTAGTGCTGAAATGAATCGAGCAATACGCAGGAAACCCGCAGTAGTGGCCATGCAGGGAACGATCATTTTGGAGTGATTCCACAGATATCCAGCGATCTGGGAAGAGTCCTCACTGCTGCAGGAGTTGCTCCGACTGCTGGGCTGAGGGGGACATTTTGAACTCAAGGCACAGAACACCTGGGCCAGTGGGGACCTGCTGTTGTCCTCGGTGCTCCTTTGTGGGTGGAGACAAGTCTTTTATCCCCTAACCCAGAAGCAGTCATGTTTATTTCAGTCTACACATTTTCTGTAGCTTCTGATCTTACAATTAAAGCTGAGCAGTGGTAGTGTAACAAGCATAGCTTGAGGAAGCCAGTGACTCCTTTTCAAGTAGATGGAGCAATGAAAAAAATACATGGACAAAAAGATGAATCTCTGTGATCATCTGTTGGCCCTATACTGTTAGGGCCAGATTCTCATCAAGAGAGTGGATCGAAAGTTGAGCAATAAATACTTGAAATCTTCCTTTGGTCTTGGAAATAACTATATTAACAGCATTGTCATAACAAATGATACGGGAGCGCCAACACTTCAAACCAGAGAGAAAATTGAGACTTGATGCATCGATAAATATTTAAAAGGCAAGGCATAGAATAACCTGTCCCAGAGAAAGTGGGGGAAAATAGTGGGATAAGCAGATAAGAAGGGCTGGTCGTGTGTAAATAGGGTGCTGGTCAGTATGTTTTTCGAGCCTTGCCCTTCACCTGATCCGTGCAGCCTGTCCTGTCTCCTTACTAAATCCCTTTTCCTGGGGGTGTGTGATGGGGGTCTGAGTGCAGCGCCTGGAGCGGGATCGTGGGTGGGAGGTGTGCCTGTGGTGCCAGCAACTGCAGACACCGCAGCGAGAGGACTTAGGTATCCGGAGGGGAGAGGGTCCAGGGCTCAGCCGCTGGCTGGACTGTGTCTAAGGCCAGCTACCAGAGAGATCTGCGTTTGTACTGTGAGCCTTGCAGAAGGTGGTGTATTCAAGGGGTTAGCGATGTCGAACAGACACTGTCTGCTCCCCTGGGCCTCGTACCTGGCACTTGAGCAGCCTGAACGTCAGCACGAGCAGCAGCTGCGTGGGAACCTGATGGAGCGCCCCGTGCCAGCCCGTCCTGCGCCCAGGGCGTGGGAAGAAGGAAACCCTCCACGGATGGGACCTGTGCAGTGCACCGTGGGAAAATCCATCCAGGCTCCGTCAGTGCTGCACAAAGGCAGGGTGCCCAGCACCTGAAGGGGTATAAGTTTTACTCTCTACCTGTATTCCTCTTTTTATCCTATTTATATTCCTGGTTTTATTCTGTTGTATTAAAACAGCTGTTTTGTTAAGCCATTTGTTGTCAGGCCTTTCTTCTTGGAATCCAGAAAGAACCCTGCACCCTCTCTCTTTCTTACTGACCTCCTGGTGCAGAACAACATTGTACTTATAAAAATAAGTAATATATCTGTATATTAAATATTAGCGGGAAATCTATATCTATATCTCCCCCTGATGGACCTCCATCCTGCTCAGCCAGAGAGGGGAGCAGGATGAGGCTGTTGATGCTGCCTGTGTTCATGTGAGTGCTCTGTGCGTCTGCCTGGGTTGACCGGTGTGGCCAGCCGTGTATATATCCATACGTGGCTTGTACATGTGCTCGGTGTGCGTGTGCCTCTGGGGGACGCGTCCTGAGCCTTGCCGTAGTATCTACTACATCAGTGTTAAAGATTATCGTTGTTAACAACACATTTACTCTTTCAAGGCTATTCTTTATTTTGTAAGGTACGTAATGCAGGCTTCTGACTGGTAATTTCAATGTTTTTCTGTTGGAGCTGCAGTGTCTGAAAATATAAATACAGCTTGAGGGCCCGAGCAGTCACGTCTCCGGGCTGAAGCAGGCCCAGCTCCTCCCGCTCTCTGCACCCTATCTTGAGGCCGTCGCTAACTGCCCCTGCACGCTCGGCCCCCTCCTTTTCAGAGTTGCCAAGGACTAAAGAAATTTCTGAGAAACTGCATGAAAAAGCAGAAATGCAGAAACTAAGAATAAAATTGTCACCCACCTTAGGTTGTCATACAATATGCCAAACTCTTTTTGGGGTGAAGGGCTATCCATGCGGTGCTACTGGTATCATAAATGCAAGTAAAGGAAAAGAACTAGAAAGTATTTATGTATTGTTCTTTTAAACTACAAGGGATATTTGTCCTGATAACTGACACGGAAATTTATCTTAACCAATATGAACTCTGAAGAAGAAAAAGTTAAAAAACAGCCCCTGAAAACTTAATCTCCCTCTGTAAGGTACGACAGCTTGTCTGCCTCAGGGTACAGTACGATGCAATTTAATATCTTAGAAACATCCACTAGGAAATGCAGAAGCCCAGGATAGAATGTATTTTTCAGTGAATTAGTTATAAGTTTAGGGTAGGAGATCAAGGACAGAATATAATCATAATCTGGTTTTATTTTAGTGATTCTGTTTTTCACTCAAGGCCCTGTGGATTTTCTCCTCTCATACCAGATGCAGTGAACAAATGCCAAGGTCTTTCAACTCTACATAGGAGGATACTTTTCTTTATAAAAAACCTAAATCTACGTGATTTATTTTGTTAAAATTAGTTGTGGAAGGATTCTGTCTTCCTCCTGTCACATATGTAAGAACTTTTTCCAACCCTTCAAAATAGCATTTCTCTCAAGAATGGCCAATTACCTTTGGTCGGTGTGAAAATTGTAGCTTCAAGTATGCCACATCCAATAATGATTTTCAGTATTAAGGACATTCTTAAAGTGCACGTGTAATTTTTTAAACACACACTAAAAGTTGAAAGGTAATGAATGATTGAAAAGAAGGGAGGTATCTGGACAGAAAATTGAAGCTTATTTTAAAACTTCTAGACTTAAGAACTGAAGTTCTCTCTGACATTTCATGCATATTTCCTAATGCTGAACTTAGAAACCAGCTGTGGGTGTACACGCTTGTACTCATTTCAGTTTTCTCCCAAATAAGCAGCCTCAGAGGCAACAGAGCATATTTCACACACAGATAAAGGTGCTCAGAGACTTCCCCCAAGTGCTTAATTCATTTTGAAAATCATCTTTTGGCTACTTGAGACCTAAGATGATATCACTTCAATCTCTAATAAGATGCTACTAATTGGAGAGAGGAAAAAAAGAGTTGAGAGAGCTGCAAGAGATGTGCAAACATTTGTAAGTAGAGCAGGGACAGCTACAAGACCTTGCTGTTTCAGAAGTTGGAGGAAATAATTCTGTATGGTGTCTAGAAGGGCTTTGTAACCATCAGCTGCTCTACCCAGTTTAACAAACCAAAATGACTTACAGTACCAAGGATAACAATAAACCATCAGAAGTAAGATATTCTCTTTCTTAGTCTGCAGTTGTTCAGAGTGAAGAGTTTCTGCAGCCATTGATTTAACTAGTCATCTGAGCGCTTGCTGAACCACAATTTTAAAATAT